ATGTAGTCCTGCACCTTCTGGCTGGACGGTTCGAGTTGGAGATAGTGGTATGCTCCGATGAGGGCCTTGGCGCAATCCAGGAGATTCTTGTAAACGGTCAATCGATATAAGGAGAGTTCTTCCACGGTGTAACCATTTTGGTGGATAATCTTCATCTGCTTTACAATCGTTGATTTTCCGCTTTCTCCGGATCCTGGTTTTGACGTGAGTTATAATTCCTTCCAATGGAGTACCAGGCTACCTACCCAAAAGAAGGATCTTGCATTCTTTCCGTAGTCGCCTAGAATCTTCTTCTAGCTTGCGATCGATCTGTTGGCTTCGTTTTTTCTGATCCGCGTCCCCAGTGGACTCTGAGCTGAAACACGACCCCATGGTGGAATCGTCAGTGACCCAGACCAGCAGGGAGGAGATTCATCAACCGCGCGCGAGAACAAAATGTGCCGGTCAAGACGGCCGGAGCCTTCGCTTGTGAAAACAAGCGCCACAGACGAGGATAGAAGGATCTCAGTGCGATGTGTAGAAATAGCGATATAGATTGGAAATCGAAGTGGGACCTTGGAGATGGTGAAGGCGAAAGGTTGAGGCTGAGTTGCGAAGGGGAGACGTTGGGTTTCGGGTAGGGAAGATGGGGGCGGAAGTGGGTAAACGCGGAGAAGGGATGTTCTCGGATGAGAGAATAAAATAAAAAAAAAGGGTACGAGTATAGAGTAAGTGTAATAAATGGAAGAAGTTTAAAGAAGAGAGAGTGCGACCATCGTCATGCTGGGGGGGGGAAAGAGTGGAGAGGAGAAGGTAAGAAATGTAAGAAACATGTACGGTTCAGCTTACATTTCCAAGGTAATGTAATCCAATTTCATTCCTTTCTTTTTTTTTCTTTTTTTTTTTATATTATTATTAGTGTTTAAGTGATGTATTATATATTTTGTTTCAAACTACCTAAGTTATATATAGGTATTATGTAGGTAATGAAAACCCGGGGGAAAGCACGTTCCGATCGTATAGGGTATGATCTAGTATTAAATTCTCTTTAAATCCTATAAACGCTGTTTAAGCGACGAAAACTGCTAATTAAACGGGGCGCCACCGGACCCGTGCAATCCGATATCAATTCGGATCTTTTTTTGTATAGATTTATAGATTTACCTACAAATCTTTAATAGGACTTCAGTACTCCGTTTCATACACTTTTCAACCCACTCTGGAGCTTAAAAGTGGAGTGTGACGCAAAATTTAATGCCTCAGGCAGCGCGGGGTTGGTCTTCCAACCTTGGGTTCGGTGTGTATCTAATTCTTTATATATTGAGAGTACTTGAACCTATTATCTATTTAAATTAACTGCGTTTTCAAACTTGGAGGTGTTGGCTTAAGATATGCGGTGAGCTAGCTGGGTACTGGCCACATCTCCCCTTGTAACACGGAACTCAATTCAGCCTTGTGGACAGATGTACAGAAGGCTTGGGAGAGTGCCTTGGTGGTGTTGGTGTTATTAACATCTCAGAGGTATGAAGTAGAGGTAGATAATCACAGAAAGTCAGGAGTTAGATATATTTCCACAATGTATATGTATAAGGACATGTCCTCTTCTATCAGGTACCTACAAGGCATATGAAACCCCGAAAGGTAACTCCAGAGTTTAAAATGAGTTGCACTTCTAACCAGCCATCACATCATTCAAATGTCTTTGTTGCATGTCTGCAGTTACATATTATGTTGGCAGTAGCGTGGGCATTGTTTCACATGCCTCAGCCGCCAGATTCACATCCACATTAGACGACACGATTAGTGACAAGACTCAAGTATCCCTCTTAAAACTCATGTTTGAGCCAATGTCTCTAGTTAATTTCCTTCAGGGTTGCATTGTACATGGCTATTAGAGTTGGGTGTAGGTTCGTAGTTGATATATATATGTAAGTATATATATATATATACACGCAATGTGCAACTATTTAGCGATAAGATCACCTCACAAAATGTAGAACTTGATTGGCCTAGTTTGTAGAAAGAATGTGCATTTGATATACTGAAGTGTAGTGTTCTAGATGGTGTCTCCCTTATGCAGGTCAATGTGAGCCGGGACAGTCCACCTGACCTATAAGAGCATCAGAGAGAGCCCCGGGTAGGTATACATAGCTTATATTCATGTAGAGTTGATAAATTCTCATGATTATCATGTCTGCCTAAGGATATTGAAGGTGAGGGGTTGTACTCTGACCTGCCAAGGTTCTGAATAAAGGGCCCAAGAACTCTCTGTATATTGGTTTTTTTTTTGGGCGGGTTAAAGTAAATCAAGATTAATACATAAAGTGGATAATTCTTATCCAATCTGACTGTATATAAGTTCTATATCCCATATCAAATATATCAAAGCGATCGTTCAAGGGAAACTTCTTCCGGTATAAGACCAGGGTCTGGGCCGCGTGGTAGTGGAGCGAGGGCAACCTTGGAAGTTCACACAAATCAACAAATAGAATATATATGAATTGTAGAGAAGAAATGCAAAGAAGATGTATTAAATCATTAGATATTCTAATAAGCAATAAGAAATTCTCATTTTAATATAACCTATAAAGCACCTGGGGGGGCAGTGGCTTGCTGAGTCATCCGCATAAAACTGGGCTTCGCCAACGTCATCGGCCTTGTTTTCTGCGCTTTTCAGTCCCTTCCCCACATCTGTTGCCAACACACTTGCTTTCCTTCGCGACCCCTTTCTTCTTTCTTTGAAAATTCATTTGCTTCTTGACTTGAGATTCTTTATTTGAATCTCCATATTTCTTCTTGTTTATCTCTCTGATTATACATTCCCCCCCCCACCTTTCATCATGGCGGAATTCGTGCGTGCCCAGATTTTTGGCACCACCTTTGAGATCACCAGCCGGTTCGCAATGCCCTATCCTGCTATATTTACTATTGGTGTTTTAGCAGGCGCATCCAAGGGAATAGGGATGCTAACTTGATTTCTAGGTATACGGAACTGCAGCCGGTGGGAATGGGTGCCTTCGGACTGGTCTGGTATGTTGCATTCTGTGTCGCACAAGACATTTCCAAGCCAAAGTCCATGCTAATTAGGTTATCGATATTATAGTTCTGCCAAAGATCAATTGACTGCCCAGCCAGTCGCAGTTAAAAAAATCATGAAGCCCTTCAGTACCCCCGTTCTGTCCAAACGAACCTACCGGGAGCTGAAGCTGCTCAAACATCTCCGTCACGAGAACGTCCGTACTCCATCAAATAAATTGACTATACTCCTTTGCTGACATTCTACAGATTATCAGCTTGAGTGACATTTTCATTTCGCCTTTGGAAGACATGTATGTCCCCCCTTATCTGCAAGGCGGGGTTGATATACTAATGATCACAGCTACTTCGTCACCGAACTTCTGGGAACTGACCTCCACCGACTTCTTACTTCACGACCTCTTGAAAAGCAATTCATTCAGTACTTCTTATACCAAATTCTGGTAAGATTCCCACGGGAATAACATCCGGGTCAGAATCTAACTTTTTTGATAGCGTGGCTTGAAATACGTTCACTCTGCCGGTGTGGTCCATCGGGATCTGAAACCTAGTAACATCCTGATTAACGAGAACTGTGATCTGAAAATCTGCGACTTTGGCCTTGCCCGCATCCAGGACCCCCAAATGACCGGCTATGTTTCAACACGATACTATCGCGCGCCTGAGATCATGCTTACTTGGCAAAAGTATGATGTCGAAGTTGACATCTGGAGTGCGGGTTGCATCTTCGCTGAAATGTTGGAAGGAAAGCCGTTGTTCCCCGGAAAGGACCATGTCAACCAGTTCTCGATCATTACGGAGCTGCTTGGTACTCCTCCCGATGACGTGATCCAGACCATCTGTAGCGAGAATGTGAGTAGTTATCCTTTTGGCAAAATACGAAAATATGCTAATATTCGATGATGCAGACCCTCAGATTTGTCAAGTCCTTACCAAAGCGCGAGCGCCAACCCCTCGCAAATAAATTCAAGAACGCCGATGCCGATGGTATGTGATATCTGAGCCCACTTTGGGGTTATGGGCACCACGCTAATCTGTCTCTTTTTTTTTCTAGCTGTTGATCTGCTCGAGCGGATGCTGGTTTTCAACCCGAAGAAGCGCATCCAAGCCCCCGAAGCATTAGCACATGAGTACCTGGCGCCATACCATGACCCGACCGACGAGCCTGTCGCGCAAGAGAAGTTCGATTGGTCATTCAATGATGCCGATCTGCCCGTAGATACTTGGAAGATCATGATGTATGTCGCTTGACTTGTTACCGCGCCACAATTATCTTTTACTGACTTTCCACATAGGTACTCCGAAATTCTTGACTTCCACAACATTGAACAAGGAAACGACGCCGGGGAAGCCCTGGTACAGGGCGCAGTTCAGGGCGACCCTACTGGACAGGCATTCGCATAATGGTTTGACATGAAATCTCCCTAGACACTCCCTTCTGCCATTGAATTCCAGTCTCCAAATCTGAAGTCTGGCTCTATTTCTGTTCAAAGGTGCTACGAAGCTGGGGTATTCACTTGTGTTCTTTTATTTTATTTTCCCCTTTTCTACTTTGTTCTTTTTTGGTCTTTCTGGAAATCATTGTCCATAGCTCTTCCGGCGTCGTCAAGAATTGGTTGGTGATTAGGAGAAATCATAGGGGGGATCTGATTTAGTTCAGCGATGGCCTCATAACCTTTAATTCTTTGAAATATCTATGCAATCCAAAGTTACTTCTCCAAAATACTATTACTTTCCCCCATACTCCATATATGATGTTGATGCCCTCAAGATATTGGCGGGGCTACCGTTCACCGCCCGTACGATAACCGTATCAGTGATGTTCCCCTGTTTGCGACGATCTTAGTCTCATGGGAAAACTTGAGGTTTTGGAGGAGAAGCACCTCTTTTCTACATATTGCAAATTCATTCAAGTCATTCAGTCTCAGCATTCTAACCACATTCCTCACAACCGAACCTAATACCCTGTCGCAAGCTTCGGCGCGATGGCTGTCCAGCATAAACAAGACCCAATTGTCTTGGTCATAGATTTCCACCATGCACGGTGAGCCATGAGACATTGAAACCCCCTGGACTCGTATCTTTGAAACGGGGTCAAAGACGGATCCATACTGGAACCTGGCTGATTGAGACATACATCTGCAGCGGCCCCGAGATTGAGCATTGCATTGCCGATGAAGGAACCGATCCAGCAACAGAGAATGACTGGTCTCTGCTCCCATTTATGGCCCTGTCTGATGGCGCACATCTGTACGATACCCTTATCGCCGACAAACATCTCCCCTCCCCTTCTTGGTCTCCTTTGGCGCAATCCCGCGACAAATGAGAGCCGATTTGCGCTAGACTAACTAACGGGTGGAATTGCAGGTCAACCGAGGAATTCTCATACTTCACACTCTGCCGAAAGGAGACATCCACTACACCTGCAACCTCCCTCTTCGGCATCGCCTGCTCCCGCCAGATCGATTCAACCCTACTCATCAACCGCTCGGCCGATGTGACTCGATCAACGGTACAAAAGGCTGTTGTGGTCGTGACGGATACTCCGCAGCGAGTAGGTCAATTGCGTGAGAAGCTCTCCGTGGTGACTTCCGCATGGTTTGCTCAACGGTATGTGGAACTGCTTGCCCCGGTGGACTATCTGCTTCCCTAATGCGCTGGCATGGGATCCATGGAGTTCGGCTTAGAATGAGAAAATGTGACTAATAGAGCACTTTTCTTGACAGTGACTTCTCGGACATTGATATCTTGAAGGTATGTTCTAGCCGCAACGGATGTAGAATGAAACGCTGACAGTGGATATAGAAATTCCGTGAGGGCTTGGTGATTGCTCTATTGAATGATGGCCCAAAAGACCAAAATTTAGGTAAGGATATCATCTACTCCGATGCGTGTGAAAATTTGCTGATTTACGAAGGCCTTTCGCTTCGGGAAATGATTCACGAATTCAAATTCCAGACTTTAGTCCTTTTCAAGGCACTCCTGTTGCAACCCAAGATGCTTTTCTTTGGGACGCGCTGTGAACGCCTGTGCATGATTCAGTTCTCGCTTATATCTTTAATACCCGGCCTCCTAAACAACTTGCAGGACTGTGCGGATCCTGCTTTTGACACCTATTCTCAGACCGTTGAGAAACCAACGTCTCTCAAGACGAGTGACAGAAGTTCCTTGCTGGCATACATGGGACTTCCATTGCAGATTTTTGGAAAGGGAAGCATGTTTGGCCCTTATACACCTCTCCAGCTGCTGGATCTGCTGGCGGATGATGGCACAAAATCATATGTGGTTGGCTCAACAAACTCGCTACTTCTTCAGCAAAAGGACCGCTACAGTGATATTTTAATTAACCTCGACGAAGACAGTATCGTCATTAATTCTCCTTCCCTCCGCAGTGCCCTGGTCCTCTCAGCGGCCGATAGGCGCTGGATTGACTTGCTTACACAAATTGTTAATGACACTTGGGATGAGGAACATCCTTCGCAACCCAAGACCCTTGGCTTCATGGGATCAGAGGAATTCATTCGACTACAGTTTGAGGAATATTTGCTGGCGCTATTATCCTCCATGAAATACCACGAGGAGCTCTACCCATGCGATGCCGGAGAATCGGGACATCTTAGCAGAACCCAGCTGCAAAACTTGAACATTGAAGGAGACCCTGCTAGCGACTTCAATACGGAATTTCTGGCCCAGTGGAAAACCACATCTAATTACGCCCTTTTCTCGCGTCTCACCTCGGATGCGCTCCTATTTTCCATCACTGAGCCACGACACCCCAACGCCGGCGGTCTGACGATGGAAGATGTCCAAAGACGACTCGCACAACAGGTAGCAGACCTGCACCTTGATGAGCGTGTCCGCGAAGGGCGCGAGGCCCTGAATCGCCATATCTCCACTGGTCAAAAGAAAGTGAGCGCGGCATTCACTAGCTTCTGGTCGGACATTGAGACAATGCGCGAAGCACAACGCAAGCGCAATGAAGAGAAAGCAGCCTCTCAGTCCCAATCTCAGCGCGCCTCTATGGACAAAGAAAGCCCTATATCACCGACCCCCTCCTCACAGGACCCCGCCGATGCCTCCTGGTTCGCAGGCCGACAAAGGCCATCCGTCGACATAGCACAGGCCCAGGCTTCCGTGGCCGTAGCCAGCCAAAAGGCCGGCTCCTATCTCAGCTCGTGGGGCACCTGGGCGAGCGAAAAACGTCGCGAATGGCAAGACAAGCGTGTCACATCCCCAGGCCCGAATCCGACTGCCACACCCAGTGCCGGCATGACTTCCCCATCAACTCCCGTCTTATCTGTCGTTACCGAATCGACCGAGTTGGACCGCGGCCGTCGTCGTTCCATCCAGCATAATAGCGAAGGCAACAATAGCTCCGAGGGTGGTCTTACTCGCAGCGTCAGCCGAAGAAAGAGATGGAGCAATATTCTTCTTAGACGCGACAGCGGCGAGTTCCAACGTTCCGATGATGTCTCCACTTCCGATTCTGTCGAAACTTCCTTCCCCAAGTCTCCTCTATCACAGGGATCCCCGGCTTATGCGAATGATGCGGATCACAAGCAGACACAGGACCACCCTGTTCACGATGGAAAGACTGCTGCCCAGGATACCGTTGATGCGGATGGGTTTTCTTCTGTGGCTCTCACCCCGAATGAAAGCCCGGGGCAGACTTTGAAAACCGAGGAGAATGTTTCCCAAAGCCAGAAGGAAAACACACCTCCCAGCGGCAGTGTGGTAGATACACAGCCGAAGGACTTGGCAGCAGCACTCCCTGCCAAAGAAGAGACGCATCCATCCTAGAGCAAGGACTCGTCTGGTACGAACTAGCATGTTGGATTTGGGAGCCCGGGGGGTGATTTGCATTTTTCGCATCTAGGGTGATGAAGTACTAACAGACTTTCTGTCTTGTCTTTCTTGTCTCTAGTTTCGCATAGCATATCCATTCTAGCACAGTTCTTATTTTGATCATACATAAATATACCACTGGGCCTGGCCAGTACTACGCATACCAATGTCTTTTCATTGTACCTTGTTATAGTCTTTCTATTGGGCTAGGTCTGTACTAATCGCAATATTCGAAACCCTGATAGCTAGCTACATAGAACAGAACTATCAATGTATGATGTAGGATTTTTCTGTAGAAAAAAAAAGTTAAACAGGAAAGAGCAAAGTAGTCATCATTTGTTTGTCGTCTCAGCGCTATGAAGTGGAAACATAAAATAAATCGCCGACACAATGAGAAGAATTCATACACTCCTATCAGCCTGATCCCATCCGCCAGCTGTCCATTGAAGGAGTCATATCCTGGAGCAGCACGAGTTCCAGCCCTCCCTGTCTTGCATTTCCATCACCGATAAAATGGGAGGGCAATAAAGGGACACCGAAAATCACTAATTCCGGAAAGAGACGGCAGCAGAAGCAGAGAGCAACAGAAAAAAGGAGATAGAAGCAAGTTGGGTGTGCAATATTGTTGGGAGGGGGTTGGTAATTTGATCTAAGCAATGTATGAGATTTCATCGCCGTCCATGCGCTCGATATAGTCCTTCTCCATGAGGGCTTCAATGTTCTTCTTGATATCGGGGATTTTAGGCGGGAAGCGGGACTTGACCTGCTGGATAACCTCCTGGACAAGCTGGACGTGCTTCATCTTCTTGCGCGACTTCATGATTCGAACAATGGCGGACTACAGCAACGTTAGGATGAATGGATTATGTGGGGGGTTTGAGATTAGCTAGGAGAGATACCTGGAGCAGAAGCCTCCTGTCCTCTTCTATCGTTTTGTGTGTGTCGTCGGCCTCGACCTTTTGCTCGGACTTGATCTGAATGTTCAGGTTGATTTTAACCTTCTTACTCTTGAAGTTGTAGTTCAATGTGAACGAAGTGGAGAACTCGGGCTTAGCGCCTTCAGGGATAGCGATGAGGACCTTGGCCTTGAGCAGGATGCTCAGGTTGGGATCGAGAATGTCGGGTGCCAGGGTAGTGGCCTTTTCAATCTCCTCGTAGGACAGAGTGTCGGCTTCGTTGAAGAGGAGCAGAATACCCATCTGGTAGGTTGACACCTGGAAGGTGTAGGGCACTTTGGTGTTCTTGATATAGTTAGCCTTGATTTCGCCCTTGCATAGCTGCCACAGCCATGTCAATTTGCGGCCGCTGTGTTTGTCAAAGTAGAATGTCTGGAACCGTTCAGCGGTCTTGACTATCTCCGGTGGCGCAAGGAATGGCGTGGTCGGGGCATTGAGGGGCCAGAAGCCAGTTCCTAAGATCTGGAAATGGGCGTCGGTCTGTCTCTTCCGGTCCTCATCATCTAGCACTTTGTCTTGCCAGACCTTGTAGTTGTTATTAAGATCCTTGGAGATTTGCATGTCCTGGAACATGCGTTGTAGCTTGTTGGTATATTCGAAACCGCACGCCTCCTTCAGCTTGCTGATCATACTTGTTTCAGCATCATCAGAAACAGAGGTCACATGAACGAGACGCTTGGCCAGGTTCTTGGAATAAAACTTTTGGAAGACGTCTTTGTCTTCGATGTACTTGAAGACTGTCATAATTTGCACCAGCATATCCTCAAGCTCTGACTCTTCAGCCGACTTGGATCCCTTCTTGAGCAATGAGTCTGTGTATTTTGCCAACAGTTCGGGAGACTTGGAAGAGCTGGTCTTGCAAATGCGGTTCCGGTTGACAAACTCCCGGCAGGCGTTATCAAGAGACCGCACAAACTCAGCCTCGCCATTGAAGGCCTCATCGACCAAGCTCTGGTACCGTGTATGAACTTGCAGTAGAGCATCAACGTACAACTTGGGCTCTAGTGTTTCTCCCTCTGAAGCAACCTTTTCGACAGCAGCCAGACCGGCCCGTCTCACGTGGTTCTCGAATGTCGTGCGCAGAGGATCCAAGCCTTCCTTGATTCGTGATAAGAGTCGATACATGCGAGCAAGATCCTCCTGGCGTTCATTGTCCAACAGGACTTGGAACTCGTCGCGAAGCAAATTCGAGTGGGCGGTGACAAGAACAGACAGACAGGTATCGGTCAAGCTCTTGGTGACATCTGGATGCAAATACAAACCGACCCGGTCCTTCTCCTCCTTCAAACGAGCTTCTGCCTTCTTCATATATTCCACCACGCTGTTTTCGGCCACAAACTGCCGTGACTCATTTTCGTAATACGCTTTGGTGGCACTGATGAATGGCAACTGGAAGTACTGCCGGTAGACATCTAGTGTCGACTTGGAGCTATCATTCTCATCCAGCCCCAGTGAAACGAACGAGTCCACAATGGCTTTAATCTGCGACTGTTCGATGGTCTCTCCATTACGTTGCTTCTCGATCAGATTCAGAACAGCGTCCATGACCTTCTCATGGACCTTTTCGAAAAAGTCCCCTTTCCATTTGACCAAATGCAGGGTATAAACGTCATAGACGTTTTTCTTACCCTCGTCGATTTCACGCTTAACCCAGTGACGATTGAGGTAGCGAAAGAGGTGGTTCACGTACTTGGCGGCGGTCGTGTAGCGTGACCATTCGCGGATGTAGAAGCTAAGCATTCCTTCCTCGGTGTGGCTCTGGGACTGTTTGTAAACTCCACTCAGATGACGTGAGAGGTATTCGCCGAGTAATTTGTAAAGTTCCTCGCCCAACAGGTGGGCTTTTGTCCAGGTCAGCTCATCATAGGAAGCTGGGAGTGCGGTACGGAGAAAGGAGAACGAACCGCCACGTTGTCCTTGTAGGCCTTGGCCGCTAGAAACGGCTTTTTGAGATGTACAAAAGTTATGGACAGCCCTGATATCAAATTGTGAGCGCGGTTCTCGTCAGATAAGAGGTAGGATCGAATCTTAAACACACGTGTATAGGCCCATGTACTAGACAAAAAAAAAGCCAGTCAGCTTCTATTTTCAAACAAACTTATCGCCAGGTAGTGAGTTGTTCGGCATTTCACTTACAGTCTTCATATCGATACCGGAGTCAAGGTTGAGCATGACGCTCTCGATTCCTGCTTCTAGGAATGACCAACTAACCCAGTTAGTTCACGCTATAACGCTGTATTAAAGGGAGTCCTCAATCATTGTCTCACGTTGAATCAAGGTCATCCTTGTGAGGCACCGGTGGCATTGCGAACGACATCGCGGTTGCAGAGGAGTCGGGTGGGATGTGAAAGAAAGCGAGTGGTCGAGGCCGGGGGTCCTGCTCCACTAGTCAGTAACGTGCTCTTGACTCTCGATAGTAACATGTAAGTTACGCATCATGAGTATTACCTCAAGACGGTTGTAGCACCACAGTCACGCCTCAAAGATCCCTAGGTGATCAAATGAGTGTTGGCGCTTAGGAGGGGAAGAGGGGTTGGCAAGAGCGGGGTGCGGGCAGCCAAGGAAGACAAGCCAGAAGAAAGAAGATACGACCCTCGGGAACTTCTAGAGCAAATATAGAAGAAGAGATAAGGCAGAAGGGGAGCAGAGAGTGATGAGGCTGAGAAGGACCAGAGCGTGGGGATGGCCTTGTTGCCGCAGGCGGTGAGGTGGCGGAGCTTTCCCGCCAAATCTACATCATCGGCTTCGATGCTTTGACCAGTCGCGACATATATAAATTCCATTAATATATTTCTTTAGCAATTATTTTAAAAAAATAATATGCTATACTTGTTCATCTCTTTTGTGCCTCTAAAATGAAACAATCTCTATCCTTGTGGTATTACAACATGTCTGTCTAATGACATTTGATCCATAGATCTATAGTATATTTCTTACTAGTACTATTACAGACTTCGCATATCAAACTCAAACTACATAATAGCAAAGATGAGTGTAAAACAAGCACCTTGCTGTCTCAGAAATTTGGGAGCATATGGGAACTATTGGCCTATAACCTTCAAGTTTTCTAATTTCCTGATTAGGCCCAGTCCGGTGTTCAGAATATACATATGACGACATTTAACATATCCTGAGATCATTGCATACATTTTATGTCCACCAGACAATAGATTCTATGTGTAAATGATATTCATAGAGAGAGATGGAGCAACCAATTGTAAATTTCCTATTCTAAAGGATCTTCTTATTTTCATCATCTTGTTGTTGTGCGTGGTGAGAATTGTACATAGTTTGCACTTCTTTCCGCCTATTTCTGCCGTCTAGATATAGAACGGAGAAGGAGAAAATATCTCAAAAATACAGAAGACAACTAAAAAAGTACCACTATACTGTTGTACGGACATTACAAGGTCGCATAGTCGACTATTCTTGCCCAATAAAGGGGAGAATATACACCTGTGGGGGGAGGCACGTGATTCTGTTTTGAGTTGTTTGCCGAATCTCGTGGTTACTGTTCTCTCTGATTTCTCTTTCTTAGCTTTAGGAATGTTATAGCTGACATTATATTACTATTAGAATGCTGGCTGGATTATTAAGTATTGAAATTGCTCCTGGTCAGACATTAATGGAGCTACAAACGAGGTTAAGACACTCTCAATCTTCCACTTAGCTGGGTCTCCGGCCGAATAGGTTAGATGACGCCAGCATCAGACCACTCTCGATCTCAATTGATCCTGCCGAGCAGATATGCTGTACATTCTGGATGACCGAGCGGAACAGGAGACTTCGCATTGTGGCAGAGCTTTCAATGGGATCGGCATAGGAGGACCCCAAACGGCCATTGCTGGATTCCAAAAATTCAAACACTGGCCACAGCAGATGTTCTCCCCCTGTCGCCATCATGTTTCCTTTCATCTTATGTAACCAGTTGATTCCCTGACAAGGTTGAAGAGGGCTCCCAAAAGTCTGGTGGCATGCTGTTGATACTGCGCGCCAAAAGTCCGGAGCGGGAAGGCCATCTGTGATAGATGTGATCTGAACAGACTGGGAGCCACCATCATTAAGGCCGGTTGTGTCTCGATATCCGTCCAGAGTTTGACTGGTGATCAGACCCGCCACGAGATTCACGGGAGAGATGAAAATCCACGAGTTGGAGTCCTCTTCACTGTTATAAAGCCCACAGGACACAGCAGAGCCCACCACCCGCCAAACATAATCGCTCACATTCGCCATTCCGTTGTCTGTGGACCCGATTATCCATCCCGGCCGAATGATGTTCATGTGGATATGTTTGCAGGCTGTGTCTTGTTGAAATTCTTTAATAGCCAGTTCCGACATGAATTTACTTTGACTATATCCATCGGAGGTGGAAAGTAACTTGGCCACGCTGCGATCATCATCCACGGCCGAGCAGCCGGGCAGGAGGGCCGAGATGTAAGTGAACGCCACGGGATAGGCTAGATGCGCTAGCGCACTTAGGAGGTTGATCGTGCTTTCTGTGTTGACTGACTGGAGTTTGTTGTAATCCTGACCCCAATGAACCCAAGCGCCATTGTGAACAACAGTGTCGAATCCATCACCTTGGTCAAGCCCACAGAGGATCTTCCACTGACTCTCGGACAACCCCAAGCACGGCTGGGAGAGACATCCTCGCCATGTTCGGACGCGATTTCGATACGATTCTCTCCACCAGCCTGCGCCATGAGCGGCTTGGACGACACGTCTAATTGCTATCTTGTCGGATTCAGCGCGAACGAGAACTGTGACCGACTGCACTCGGGGATCTTCCAGCAGTGCTTTCAAGATATGTGTCCCAAGAAAGCCTGTGCCTCCTGTTAACAGGACGCGGCCAACTCGACGATCCTTCCCGCTGGAACGTCCACCGAGGCTAGAATTCGCCAACTTCCGCGAATGCGCGCAGATTCCACGTATTCTCTCCCGTATATTTTGATACTCCGACCAAAGATCCATTGTCAGCAGCGGCTTTTGCTCCAGATCTTGCGTGGTCGGCGGCATGGAAACCATGAGAGCCACATCGCGAACAGTTAACCCCGATCGGAAGAGCGGCGCCATAGGCAAACGAACGTCAAAGCGGGTGGAGATGGCCACGGATATAGCCATCATATCGATAGAGTCCAGACCAATCCGAGACAGGGTAACATTCTTCCCTACTACACGGTTTCTGTCCAGTTTCAACCGCGAATGAAGGGCGTCGGCCACCACTTCGGACACTATCCACGCAGTAGTTTCCGTTGATGCCAATGGGACATCGCTTGACTGAGCGCCGGAGCACCCGAAAGTCAAAAGTGCCTCGGGCGTTAGCGATGCGGCAGCAGCTCGAACCTGTCGTCGATCAGCCTTGCCGGAAACGGTGAGTGGCATTTGGCGGGCGAGGAGCCATAGCGAGGGGATCATGACTGCTGGCAGCGTGGACGAGAGCTCCCGCTCGACTTGGCTGACTATCTTCACAAACCGTGAACTGGGGGGAACAAATAAGAGCCTGTCGTTGGCCTGAGCATGCGAGGTGGACGTGCTGAACATTTCCTCATCCGACGTTTCAACCATTGCCACCAGCATATGATGGGTGTCTCCAATTTCTTCTGTCCTTGGTTTAATGATGTCCGCCATAATAGTGGTGAACTGAGCGCCCAGGGCTTCCGTCAGGTGGTGCTCGACGTCCATCAGGTTCACGCGCTGGCCGCGCAATTTCACTTGGTGATCTTTGCGACCAAGGAAGAGGCAGGTGCCATCGGGATTGATCCGTACTAAGTCTCCGGTCTTGTATAATCGCTCCCCCGAGGCATTCATGTTGGTGGACCATTCGGTTTGATCTAGAAACACAGCGCTAGTCTTTTCCGGCTCGTTCAGGTAGCCGCGGCCAACGATACGCCCTTGGAGGACTAATTCTCCGATCGCCCCGATCGGCATCAACCGATTGTGGTCGTACTGGTCCACCACCCACAGCGTACATCCCATTCCTGTGCCAATGTTGCGAGGGTCGACGGACACACCGTGTATGGTGTGCACAGTTGCTCCCGTGCAGCATTCAGACGGTCCATAACCACACAATAATGTGACCGCGGGTGCCCATATTGCGACCTGCGATGGTAGCAGCGTCTCTCCCACGGCGACCACAGTTCTCAAGCTGGGGACATCGGCAGGCGCAATAAGACGAAGCATGGATGGAGTGGCGCACATCCATTCGGCTCGGTATTGTCGAATGGCGGAGCCAATGCCCCCGGCTAGCTCTTCGGCCGATGGGATGCACACACAACCGCCGCTAGACAACGTCGTGAGAATCTCGACTGCAAAAGAGTCGAATGCATACGACGATAGTTGTAGAACACGGGTGCCTGTTCGGATGTACAGTTTCTCACGCTGGGCAATCATGGCGGAGCAATAGGACCCGTGTTCAATCTCCACGCCCTTAGGGTTCCCAGTCGACCCAGAGGTGAACACGACATAGAGCAAGTCGCTGTGATGACCATTATCTAGGTCATCCTGCGGTGGAGATGATTGGGTGCTGTCTTCCCGCACCATCTGCTCGGAGAATAGCAGGATTTGAGGCGCAAATCTCTCACAGTACCCCATGCATACGGCGGATGTTATGACCCATTGCGCCGCCACTGTTTTACATATGCTTTGATTTCGCTCCCAGGCTGAATTTTGATCCAAGAGGACAAACGCAGCCCCGGTCTTCATGACGGAGAGCATGGCGATGACCACCCACTTGGTGCGTTCCAAACAAATAGGAACAATGGCCCCTGCCCCAATGCCCATGTCCCTCAGGCCGATTGCACCTGCATCAGAAAATTGCTGTATCTCATCGTACGTGAAAGAACCATCCCAAGAGCAAACTCCCTGCTCTTGCGGGCGGATCTGGCATTGAAGTTTGACAAGCCCATGGATGGTGTAGTCGACGCGCGAAGGAGGGGGTAGTTGCCACTCGCATAGCTGCACCTGGTCGGCTATGCCCAAACAGTCCAGTTGCCCTAGTCGCGTGGACTGCGCCCCATTCAACTGGGTCAAGATATGGCTGACCTGACGAATAATGCGCTCCCCCTGAGCCGGGGGAATGATTTCATCGTCCAGCAGGAGCTCCAACTCCCAAATCTGATCCGTATCACCGGGAGTACAGATCAGAACCATCGAGTACCCCGGAATAAACCCGTCTGCTCCCGTCCGCTCTTGGATGGAGTCGAATATGGCCGACTGTAGTGGATCCTTACGTGGCTGGATTACAACCAGGGTCTGGAACATACACGCTGTAGACGCCTCGGGACTGACGCGAGAAATGGAGTGCAATCCCGCATGCTCCCACTCAATGGTGGACTGCATGTTTTCCTGAGTCATTTTGAGTGCTTGGTCAATGCGCATGGATCGATCAATTGTGTGCCCAAATGGGATGGTAGCCAATGTAGGCCCCATGATGCTGTCCATTCCCGGCAAAGACGATAGCCTTCCATTGCTGATGGTCCCATAAACCACACCAGGGGACTGCGTGTACAAGGATATGAGCAAGGCCCATGCCAAATGGACTTTGATCGCCGGGGTCACTCGAGGGCCAGCAAGTTCTGACTGGTCGGTTTCCCCCCTCGCTGGCGGCACATTCTGTGTAGGTTGGTGACGGTAGGTCAATCGAATGCGGAGCTGGGCAGCCCGGTTGGTTGTGGGGGGTTCGGGGAAGACGGCTGCGTTGAGGTTGCGACAATAAGAATGCCAAAACTCCTGTTCGTTGACAAGATCCCGATCTTGCAGGAAGCGTACAAATCCTGAGAATGGACGCGGAGGCAGTGATTCGCCTCGGTAGGCGGCCTCTACATCCTGTAACATCAAATCCCACGACCAGCCATCATAGACTGCATGGTGGATGGTGACCACAATTTGTGCGTTGCGCGTGGCAATGTTATTCTTCTCTGTGCTTGTATGCGTTTCTGGGACTATGAGACCGAGGACGACCAGAGGAGTCCCGGGGCCCATCTCCTTCGCCGCTTCACTTGTCAAATACTGTTCCTCGGATTTGAAGGATGGCATCGGGAGCTCATGGTGATCTGTGACGACCTGGTAGAACCCCACGGACGTTTGGATGATGCGGGTGCGCAGTATGTCGCTGGATCGAATCACCATGTTCCAGGCTCTCACCAACCGGGGCCGATCGACCTCAGGAGAGAGCGTTAACGTGAATTGATCGATGTACGCAAGAGACCCAACGGAGGTTGTGGAAAATAGACCCTCTTGGATAGGTGTACATGGGTAGATGTCACGAATAGACTCTTTCCCAATGCCGCATTGCTCTTGGGCAGCCTCCAGGATCTTAGTACGGTCGTCGCTATTTTCCGGGAGCATGGAGAAAGGAGGAACAACAGCAGATCCCACCTCTGAGGGGATTGGTTCGCATTTCTCAAGACCTTGAGCCAGATCCGTTAATTTCAGGTCATGCTGTAAAATATCCATGGCTTTTAGAGACATTCCTGACTTTCGAGCGAGACTGACTAGTCTCACAGCGGCCAAAGAATCTCCGCCCATGTGCACAAAGGCGCTATTCATATCGATATCTGTCGCCTCTAACCCCAGAGTCTCTTGAACAAGAGATGCCACTTGATGTTCCGCGGTGGACATTGCGATTCTCTTGGGGTTCCCATTTGTCTTCGACTTGAGGAGTTTCGTCATCTCTGATTCTGTTCGCGCAGTGAACATAGCGGCAAGCTTTTTCCGGTCGATCTTGCTAGTAGGTGTCTTTGGCAGAGCCGAGAGCTCAATCACAAATGCTGGTATCATATACCGCGGTAGACGGTGCCCCATCTCATCACGGATCGCATCCTCTCGGCCATAACGCCTCATTTCTACATGTGCACTGTCTTTACACACTGAGGGCACTTTTGATACATCGGATTTTGTCGATCTCTCTGCCACGAAGGCGACGACAATGTCTTGGTGGTGCGCACCAGGCGAGGCCAAGACATCCACTGAAATGTCCAAGCCTGTCTCCATCTGTCGAAGGGTGAATTCGATGTTTTCGATGTCTATTCGTTGGCCGTTGATCTTCCGCACATTGTCTCTTCGACCCAGGTATCGCATCGAGCCGTCCCAGTTGAATTGAACCAAGTCGCTGGTCCTAAAGAAAGCGCCGCGATGCGGAATGGGAAAAGTAGACCTCCAGCTAGGGGCCGAAACAAAGACTTGCTCGGTCTTCTCTGGTTCGTTCAAGTATCCATGAGCAACAATCGGCCCCTCCACGAGCAGTTCCCCTATTCCTCCAATTGGGGTCAGGATGTTCATGTCATTTGGGTTCACTATCCACCCGATGCATCCGACCGGACGGCCAATTGTACCATCCACCCATGACCGGGGGTCCATTCGAGTTGATACACATATGCTCACTTCGGCTGGCCCAAAACCGTTGTACAGGCGACTACCCCATGTTTGGACTAGGTCATTACCCACAGCCTCTCCACCAACAACAATGGTTTCCATAGTGGGAAACTGTGAGGGGCTGAAGGTCCTGAGCATTGTGGGCGTGATGAATGCCCATGTCGTTCGATGTTTGGTAACGAAAGACGGAATATCGTGCAGCCTTTCCTCCTCGGACGGGGTAAACACCGTTCCTCCTCTCACAAGTGCATGGAATATTTCATAAATCGCCATATCGAAAGCATATGATGAGAATTGCAAGGTTCTGGGAGGTTTGTCAATTCCTGTGGCAAGGCCGTGGTGGTGCATCGTTGTGGCAATGGCCCGGTGACTTAAGAGTACGCCCTTAGGTTGTCCCGTGCTACCAGACGTGAAGAGAACGCACGCAACATCTTCTTTATCGCCGCTCGGGAACTGCCAGCTGGCTGATGGCCGAGGCAATGATCTCAGCGTTGTCTCTGAAACAACTATGCGGTCGACACCTTTTACGCGCGCCAATCGATCATATTCGGTCTTCGAGGTCAGCACCACTGCGGACCCTGTCTGTTCCACTACTTTCGCAATATAAAGATTTGGATGGCTCGCGCATATCGATGTGCTCGCCGCTCCGGTTTTCAAGACGGCCAGTATACTGACGATAGCCCATAGCGACTTTTGGAATAGGATGGGGACAATTGTTCCCCTGCCAATGCCGCGCTCGACCAAGGCCGCAGCCAGAATGGTAGATAGCTCGTCCAATTGTGCATATGACAAACATCCTTCAGTGGTAATAGCCGCGGGCTCGTTAGGTCTTTCACGAGTCCTGGCTTGAAATAACTCATGCAGCCGACCTTGCGAGGAAGTGATCTGACCTGAATTCCACTTCATCAGAGAGTCCCTGTCTTCGACACTGATCATATCGATATCCCGGAGACACCGAGTGTGATTTTGCCGCATAAGCTGTTGTACAATGTTTTGGTATTGGGATAAAAATCGTCGCGCCTGTTCATCCATACATTTCGTAAAATCATAGTATACATTGGCATCTACGGTTGCGCCCGCCTGCCAGCATACTAATCGGAGACCTTCCTGTGGGTGGAGTTGGAAGCTCCCACGTGTCTTCGGATGTTGATACGGGCAGTCCATGATGCTCAATGTCACATGAGGGACATATTGGTCGTTCCCCGCCGCATGGACTTCTGATTTGACAGGACCGCTGGGAAATGTGAGAAATTCTGCTGTCTGCTCTAGGGCTGACTCAATTGAGGATTCTGGTTGCGACTCGAATGGGATCTGCGCCAAAAGTTTCTTATTCTCACAAACTGAGAGGAGCAGCGTTTCGGATCGATTGTATTCTTTCAATAGGAGTGCCCATGCCAGGACCAATAGTGGAACTGTCTGCTTTGAACGTTGCCCTCCATGGCCATCCAAAACAGACCGAATCTGCCTAATGTCGCCGTGGTCCTGCGTTTCCTGAACCGTCAAGTCTCTTGGGTGTGGGAACGAGAAATCTCCCGAGACTTTCAATTCGCCCTTGCTTTTCTCTGTAGTTGAGCTCGTGAAGGAGTCAAGAAGACCCTCTGGCACTTGGTGTAGCCCGACCATTTTCAAAATGCGTGGTCTAACGAAGGTCAATACAAGGTGCGAGTGCAACAAGTGATATGGGCATGGACTTGTGTTATTGCTGGTCAATAACAGAAAGCTTGAACTTTACAGATTGCTTTCCTAGCACCCTCAGCCAGCCATCTCTTCGATGTGCCTTTTTTTTCCCCCCATATCCAAATTCGTGCAACTCGTTTCCTGCACGTACGGCGCCATCAGAATGCCCCCAATCCCTTGCCGTTTCTTAGGGCCCTTGCTGTCCGAAAATACCGATCGTTTAGGCTTTGCCAATCATCACCACGCCAAGGGAAACTGCAACATCGTAGTACCCGAGCAAAGGACTATCACCGCCCTATGACAACTCGTGCCCTATGCGTGCGTGGACTATTCCAGACTATGCCAGACTATGCAGGAGCATGCAGGGGATTACCGGCCCACTGAAGCCCAAGGATATTTCACTAGGGTAAGTACCTACTAATTATAAAGCCGAAAGTATTGAATATCAGTCTCTGGTTGTGAAAGGTATGCTTCCCAAGTCTGAAGAAAACAGTATTAAGAATCAATATGAAAAGGGCCGACATGATCCGTAAATAATTGAGCTAAGGATGTACAATAAAGCTTTGAAAGTTCCAAGTCTCATCCTGATTGTGATATATTCCTTTTTCAGAATAATAATATCCGTCTCCTGTAGACCGATTAGGGATTAATTCCATTTCTTCAGGGTTCAATATATTATACTCCGTACCCATATGTGCATTAAGCACAGTAGATCGACGGTAAAAGGACGTAGAATAGCTTATTAGATCATATAGCATATACAATCTTTATATCGTAGAATTCATTTACAGCATTCCTTGCAACCTTGCAAGAACAGACATGTTGGTATTGGCCAGTTGAGTTCTTCATCCGGTCAATACCACCATATACGTTTCTCTACACAACATTCCTACTCGTTGAGTTTCTTCAACTAGAAATAATATATTGAATTCTCTATAATTATACATCTTAAGGATGAGAACATTACTCTCTACATATTGAAGGTAGATCATCTCATAGTGGATATAGCTGAGGTCATGATCGTGTAGATCTTTTGGAACAAGATATATCCACACTTATTTATGGATGTTATAGGTACGTTATATTTACACACAAAATATACTGAATAGAGTTTAAATAGACAGATATTGTACTTCTCTATTAGTTTTTACTTTTATCGAAGAACTTGCTTCTAACATTAGATTCCTAACCTAAGGAGTAGTAGCTGTTCAGGATATAGTCCCAAGATGTACGGAGTATTATTTCTAGGAATCTCTAAAGCAAAACTAACCAATAGGACTAAAATCACGGATGATCACAAACAAGGGGTCCTGAGCGGCATGACAATATCCTTATCAAAAATGGTCACTTATGCTGCAAGGGGATGATCCATTCCAGATCACGGAGTACTCCGTCCAGCCTCAACCCATAGACCGCTATTTTGCTCTTCCTTGATCAGGTTGCATACCAGGGCATATAGTGTATGGGTACACATATCACAATTGCTCACCACAATGGAGTAATCCGTAGCGGGCACCATCCCTTGCTACAGATCATCAGTGGCTTAGCTCAACCATGTGTTTACAGGTGACTTTCCTTGATCTACCAATTTGAGGGATATCACTCAACGGCATGTTACAACACACATGTTCGCATATACCGTTCAGGGGACGGTATCACCGATGCACGGTGCAGATGGGGCTTCCAAGGTTAGTGTCAATTATTGTCTTATGTATCAGATCTCTGCAGCAGCGCATTTTGAGGCGTGCAAACCGACTTTCAAGGTCACATTGCCAGTTAGCCCTACTGTTGAAGGGATATTACTCGTTTATTGATTCGGTTTCGTTTATTCTTTGCCCACCATCACACTCGTGGCACGCATGCTCGCTGTATGTTGATATTCTCTTCCCGAAACAGAAACAAGGCCTCGATCCCCACTATATTCTATCCTCTATGACCAGTGGAAGTACAAAAGGGGTTGCACTGCGTTGGAAGATCATCACCTATACTCAATAAGCAAGCTAGCCCGCAGTTCCATTTGGCGTTTCTCAAGTCGTTATCTTGTTTTTTCCGTTTTTTAATTGAAAAAATGACGAGACAGAAAAGGTTGATAGCGGTTATCGGGGCAACTGGTGAGTTGGCTACCCCAACTTCCATATCAGATTCTCACACTAGACAGGTAACCAGGGAGGCTCTGTTGCGCGTTCGCTATTGGATAATGAATCCTTTGAAGTGCGATGTATTACCAGAGATGCGTCGTCCCCCCAGGCCAAGGCCCTCACAACCCTCGGTGCCAAAGTGGTTCAGGCTGATGCCACACAACGCCTGGAGCTAGAGAAGGTACTTTTAGGATGCTCTGGGCTGTTCGTGAACTACAGTGTCTATGTAAGTTTGGTAGTGGCTCGTCCGCTTCCGCTCAGTTTGTTGCCATCGCGCTAACCTCACCGTTCCTCTTGCCACTAGGGCGCTGATATTGACGAAGCAGAACAACTGGGAAAAGACATATTCCTTGCAGCGGCTGCAGCGGGGATAAAACAGGTTGTCTTCAGTTCTGAGCCTCACCCAGAGAAGCTGACGAGTGGCAAAGTTCCGCTTGATTACTTGGATGGTAGGAAATCCTGAGTTCTACCGGTGATGCTCACCATCTTGCTGACTCTGTCTCTTGTTTCTTCCTCCCAGTCAAGGCACGAGTGTATGAATGGGTCTATCAGACCCAGAATTTCGATTCTTTTACCCCCATCATGCCCGGATGGTTCATGGAAAACATGCAGGATTCCCTTATGCAAACGCTGCTCGACGGATTCCCCTCCAAAAAGGACAACGAAGGATATTTGACATGTCGCTCACCTTTATGGGGTGGGAATGAAGATGTTCCCTGGATAAGTATAGGAGATGACTTTGGAGACTTGGTTCACGGTATTTTCCTCGATCCAATTCGATGGAATCACCGACCCGTTCAAGCGGTTGCGGATCCAATGTCGTTTGGCGAAATGACTCGCATTTTCTCCCTTGGTACGTTCCCCCGGAAAGCAAACACCAGGCACCATGAGCTCATCTTCCACTTAGTCACGGGCCAAAAGACACGATATATTCCATGTGACCTTTCTGAGGTGGTGTTCGGGGTTAAATATGATAACCTGAAGAACCAGGATCCAAGTGCTTTGTTTCGATATGCTCAGCTACGAGATGGTGAGTATTACGGCAATGGACCTACCGACAATCGCACTGCCAATCAGCTCAAGAAAGCGGCTTTCAAGGCCAAGGGAGGAAAAGGGCGAGAGACTCTTCTTACACTGCGGGAATATATTGAGCGAGAATTTACTTGAGGAAGGACTGGCTTGCCGACTCAACGAGGAAGTACTGGGGGTCGTACCTCGTAGATGAGATGAGCATAGTATGTTGAAACAATACAAGCAATGATCTTAAATTTGATATCGCAAAGCTATGTAGAGGGAGAAGGAATTCTATCGATAATGCTGTTTGTCTCATTATCACTGGCCTTTTATATATAAAAGGTGATTCTATTTGGTTTACTTTTCCTTTCCATGATGCTTGAGATATAGTAGGTATTTTGGATTTGACAAGCCAAACAAGTAGCTAGGAATCTAGAGTTCTTATTGATATGTCAATGTGTCACCGAAAAAGAGACCGCGTTCTGTCCAATAATTTTGATTTGAGACCCCCCAAGTATTTGTAGTAGTTTTATGGTCTCCCCTGTTTCCATGCCAAAGCCCAAGAATTCAGTGATTTATCATAAGCTAGGGTTTGGAACAAGATGATGCTTTAAGCTTTGATCACAGCTTCCAGAAGTGTCGCACGGCGGCTACCATTATCTTCTGGTGATGCCCAAATATTTACCAGCTGCAACTGGGCCGAATCCAACAGAGCTCGCCATCCTGACGCAGATCGCTCTGGAGCAGAGAATAGAGTCATCATAGCCCAGTCATCACGAGCTTGTTCAGGCGATAGATCCGCAGGGTTATCGGAAAGAACCCAGTCATGAATGAGCAGAACCGAATCCTGATCCATAGCCCTTCGAATGTTTTCCAGAATCTGACGAGATTGGACCTCGGGCCAATTGTGCAGCACCCTCCCCAGGAAGTAAACATGAGCATGCTCAATGGGCTGTTTATTGAAAAAGCTATACTCCATGCGTTCCAAAGAACCCTGGGTCCCGGCTTCCAGTTCGGCGTCGTGACTTTTAACATATTCTGGGCCGTCCTGTACGATAAATCGACACGGCAGGTGAGAGAATCGACTCATAACTGCCTTAGCCTCGTGTCCATGGCCTCCTCCCACGTCGACGAAAGTAAGAGGCATTTTGTCCTTCTGAGACTTCTCATATAGCTCCTGGAATTTAGGCTCAATTGGGAACCACTGGGCCCACTGTGCAGGAGTCCCATCGCCCGCAGTAGCCTCCATGAAACGATTAAATGCATCTTGTAATAGGGGCTGCGATGGGAGCCATTCAAAGAAGGGCAGTGATGTCCCAAACGTATGTTGAAAAACACCACGATTGGAATTGGTTGGGTTATGATACCCGTTGCCTTCAAAGAAGGAAAGCGTGTTTGCAGACATTTTGAGTGCCAGGTCGCTAGAACAATGGTCAGGTCTTCATATAAGATCGACCAAAATCAGAATCTCCCAGACTTACAGTGTCAATACAATACCATCATGGACCATACCGCCAGGCATGAGAGACTTGCTGGCTTCGTTTAATTTGTACTTTCCTTCTTCGGTGATGTCAAGAAGACCCAGACTAGTCAAAGCCCTCAGAATGCGTGCTTAGATCTTACTTCAGTATCTGCACCAGATAAGGGAAGCGAACTGCTTGTCAAAACTTACAGGCTAGCGCAGGTTCGCACCCACTTCGATCGGCCACATCGCATGGCCCAAAGATGGGTTGAGATGGATCAAACACTCCCAATTGAATGCCCATTCTGGCAATCACCAAGTCTTGTATCTATTATTGTTAATACATCTATCCAATAATTTATCATACCGTGAATAGTAGTAGCGCAGAAAGTGTTCACACCTGGAAGGCTTGGTTCAAGAGTCTTTCCGCCGGGTCCTCTACGGATCTGCTCAGCGAGGCGCAGGCCTGACGAAGCTGGGCGACATCTTCCTTTTTGGTACTAGGATTATTGATAATGTCCTTGGCCTCGTTAATGGTGGAGATTAGGTGTGGAGGGAGCATAGCTAGTAATAACCGGCAAACAATGTTTGAGTACAAGTTTAAGACTGCACTTTGTGAGATCTAGATTTGAAATTATATAAACAATTGATATATCAACAAGACTTAGATGTGTCCTATCTCTAATTCTCTAGTCTACACCGCTGAATCGAGCATATTTCACAATTGTGAATATTTACTGATGCCCACAGATGGTTCAACTAAACCCCAGGGACGTTAGGAATGTGGCTTAGCTGGGAACTGTGAGACATTGCAGATTAGGATTCATACTCCTTCCCACGCATGCGTTAGTACTATGGAGCATTTAGAAAGTATCTCGGCTTTGGTAGGGAATACCCGGTCTATACAATAAATATGTAATGATGAGAGGCAAGGGGCTGCTCGTACATGAGACTATTTATGTGTATGTTGTATGTGGAAAAGACCATACGACACACCGCAGAGGAATTGACGTGGATATCTAACTTTCAGTGAATATTGATCTTGCATATTTCCGTGAAGTACGTTGTAGGAGTATCATATCGTGTTCGCGTTAATCAACCCTGTACGGAGTAGGTGTATACGTACCTAGACCGGTATTGAGATGCACCTTACTCCAGATCTATCACATTCCACTCTTGAAAACAAAAGAATTGCATAGGACCCTTTTCATATCCATCCAGATATGATCAAGCAAGGTTCCTAAGTGGTAGATAGTATAAAACTCGTCGAGGTGGTTGGCAGAGGCTAGCAAGTGCCATGGCAGAACCTTATGGGGAGACTTACACCGTTTATTGATCAATATTCTATTTTCTCTCTATCACAGAAAGAGTACAAATCTGTACATCAAAAAGATGCTAAATGATATCTTGCATTCAAGTGGACACTATGATGTGTGGACTACTACTCTCGTAATTGGTATCACAGTAAGGCCATAGATGACTCTAATTGCTATTTAGATATGCTAACAAACATTTATAGATAGCCCTGGCGTGGTCATGCACTTTGTTACTGTTCTACACACATTTTGATCAGTTAGCAAGCTACCCAGGGCCAAAGATTGCACGTTCCACTCGGCTTTGGTATGCGGTACATCTCTTTCGCGGAACATTGCTTCAAGAACTCCTGAAAGCCCATAAAAAGTACGGACATGTGGTTCGTATTGCGCCAGATGAGCTGTCGTATATTTGCCCTGAAGCATGGGACGATATATATGGAAACGAAGTCGTTCCGGAAATGACTAGAGACCCCCGATTCATTCAGGATGTGGGCGGGCCAGGGCAATCATTACTGAACGTCACCAATGATCACCATCGTGCAATGCGCAAGAAGCTGGCACATGGATGCTCAGCCGAGTCTCTCCGGGATATGGAATCCATCCGAACATCTTATGTGGACTTCCTCATCCAACGACTTTCTGAAAATTCGCAAATTGGAGAGGTATTGGATCTTGTCAAGTGGTACTCGGTAAGTGAATATGCTACTCCACAAAAGAACTATAGTCCCAACTTAGATGTTTTATTTTCATGAGCAGTTCTTCGCCTACGACATCCAATGTGACTTGGCATTCGGGACGAGCTTCAAATGTCTCGAGACATCGAGCCTTCACCCATGGATTAAAATAATGAAGGAATTTGACAAAATCGACCCCTTCTTCAGAGCGGTCACATATTTTCCATGGGTGATGAAATTGATACGATATCTGACACCGCGATATGTGCTGGATATGGAAGGAAAGCTCGCAGCGATGTCGATAGAAAAGGCCAAAGGGCGAATGGCGAGACCTGCTGGACGGCCGGACTTGCTCGAGCACTTTATCCAGACTACAGAGGCCGTGAGCGAGGCTGATATTTGTTCTAATGGGGTGGCAATGATAGCAGCAGGGGGTGACACGACAGCGACTTTGCTCAGTGGAACGACATTTTTCCTACTTCAGAATCCTCAACTGCTAACTAAATTGTCCCTGGAACTCCGCCAGAGCTTTAAATCCGAAAGCGAGATTGATCAGGCTGCCGCAGATGGAAATGAGCTTCTACAGGCCTGTGTTCTGGAGACACTGCGTGTATACCCCCCGGCTGCTGTTGGGTTTACTCGAGCAGTGCCCAGGCTAGGCGCAACAATTGCAGGAAAATTTGTACCTGAAGGGGTGAGTAAGACTAGTTGAACCCCGACGCATTTCGTAAGATCGGTTGCTAATATATTGGCGGGATAGACCACGGTTTGCATACCACAATATGTAGCCAATCATTCTGCAGATAACTTTTCAAAGCCTGATGAGTTCTGCCCAGGACGCTGGCTTGAACCAAACGACTTTCAGCATGACAGGAAAAGCGTATTTCGGCCATTTGCGTGCGGCCCTTATGGATGCCTTGGAGAGAGGTACCATGAACCCTGACCTATATACTCCCGGTTTATACTAACCATCCCCAGACTGGCACTTTCAAATGTCCATCTTGTTCTGGCGAAGCTTTTATGGAGATTTGATCTTTCACTAGACGCTGGCTGTGAGAATTGGGAAAGACAAGCTGTGCATATCACTTGGGTAAAAAGCCCGCTGCGTGTTTTTCTTAGGGAGCGATCTGATTAGATTATATAACTCAATTAAACATTCCGATTGTTGAATTATTATCATGGACTTGTAGTCAGTTTTTTCGTGAATTTAAAAGACAGACTGTGTGACCTAGTACAGGTTGTAGATCCTATTAGCGGTACATGTTGATCTTTCAGCTCTGCGTAGTTGTAATCCGTTAGAACTATTGATCCTTACTTTCTGGCCTGGCTAATTCTATCAATATCGGAGGAACGAGCGTTCAAAGGAAATTATCATTTTCACCAAACTGAGAAAGGCTACGAAAGAGAAAAAGTAAGAGATGGGAGCAACAGCCGAAATAAAGGCTTAAGGCCCAAGATATAATATCATATATTATCCTCTGATATTTCAATATAACCAAAGCATTTTTACTCTGCAGAAATAGGGGCTGAGTGTGCAGAGGGTACCTTCACTGTGGACTTGCCTTCCTCCTCCACGATCCCATGTCGACCATCGTTTGGAATGTTGGCAGGTACATACGTGCTGCCAGAAACCACGGCCTCTGCCGCCTTCTCAAACTCCTCGTATGTGGACTTCTGGCAGTCGTGATCAAAGATCCACATCGCGCGAGCTATCAACGTGGGTTGTTTGTCCTGCTGTTTGGCGTCCCAATTAGCCCCATGAAGAGACTCCAACATCTTCGCGCTTCCCTCCCCAATCAAGGATATCCGTTGATATCTGTGTACGACTGTGAGTTAACTGTTTTGCAAAAAATAAAGAAAGAGAGCTAAAATCTGCTCACCTTAGCTTCTCCATCACCGAAAGAGCAAGCGGAATCTGCTTCTTTCCAGCTAGCTCTAAGCAAATGGCAATCACCGCACCGTCCTCGATACTTTGACTTGCACCCTGGCCCGAGGTGGGAATAAAAGCATGTGCGGCGTCTCCGATGACAGCCATTCGACCTTTTTCTGACACCCATCGAGACAAGGGGTCGACTGCCATGACGAGGTGGTCATAACAGGTGTTGTTCGGTGTGCATTTAATCACTGCCCCGACTTTGTCCTTTGCAGGCCAATTTTCAATCAATGCTAGTGCCTTTGTCACGTCCGAAGGTTGGAGCCATGATTTGGAGACTCCGTCAGAGCTCTGGGGAGAATGGGAATGGGACCGTTAGCATCATTTGTGGACTCGATTTCCTGAATGAGTGAGTCAATACGTACACGATGTAAGCAACCCCAGTACACGTCTTTGCCGTGTCTTCCAGTACCCATGATGACTGCAATGTCTTTCCCAATGAAGTGATTCAACTGATCAGCTTTCTCTGTGCCTTCTAGGATCCACTGAGCATCCGGGTGGTTGTCCAAAACCTCGGCCGGATAGCCCGCGCGGTACGTGGCAGCACCACTCTTGTTAAGTGGCTTATTGTCCCCGGTAATGACCGGTCGTGCTTTGCTGTGAATACCATCACTAGCAATTACACAGTCTGCAGACAACCGTTCTCCATTCGCGATGACTCCAGCCTCGTTGTCGTTTTCCCAGTATTCCGACACCGATATTCCGAAGCGAAGGTCGATACCCAGACTCTTTCCATACTCGTACAGGGTGCAGACTGTCGTTGAACGGTTTAGTACAAGCCCCTCGCCCTCTTTATATCCGGTCATGTCTTTCCGAAGCTTGATATTGGCTGCTTCATCCCAGACAGTGATGCTAGCGACGTCGCAACGGACGGAGTCCAGGTACCTAGCAACGGACCCATTATCCCACTTCTGGATTACGTTGGCCCCATTACTAGAGATACTGAAGATATCACCTGCGGTCCTGTCAGATCGGTGTCCTTGAATCTTACTGGAAGAAAAGCAAAGATGACCTACCCAGGTGCGTTGGTTTCGGGGTCTTCTCCAACCCGATCACGCTGTGACCTTTGCGATGGCATTCAATCGCAGCAGTGAGCCCAGCAAGACCGAGTCCCACAATAATCACTTTAATCCCCGATGAACCTGGCGGCGCAATTCCATTTGGACCGGAATGGGTGACAGTCATCGTAACGGGTCAGACTTCTCTAGTGGATAGACAATTTGCAGAGGTGAATACGTGTGAATTCTTTTGAATCTAGGCTTATTATTTAGTCCATAGGTCTAGTTATGTGTGATTCGTCGATTATAGCCATGTGCATACCATACAGTTCAGACCTGGTTAAAGAACCCAGGTCATGTTTGGTAATCGTCGGCGATAAAATCCCATTGTCCGTCCATGTACATATCTCCACTCCTCTGCAGTGTATGTACTACACATTGTACCTATTGACTCCCGTAGTATTCTGCGTTCCACACCGCCACTCCCTATTCAAGACAGATAGGGCTACGTGGTATCCGAGTGGAGACCTTGCATCCTATGGCTGAGATTACATTCTGAAATAATGATGGAAACGACTAGTACGATGCAAGGGTATTTCTTAGGTACATTTTGCATGATGTAGGAAAAGTCTAGCAGGGTGCATTGACTGGTAGGGAGTACGTACTCCGCTGGTTGAGGCGCCAGCAGGAACTTGGCCAGAATGAATCAAGCCGCTGATCATGGAGCTGAATGTTGATCTCATATGCAAAGGTCAGCCGTGCCTTTATCCAAGAAAGTGGTGGGACTCCTTTGGGTTATATACGTCGCAGTATAGCGGGTGCCGTATAACTAAATTCATAGCAGGTCGATTCCAACCCGCAGGCGAGATCGGGACAAGCCCGCTACATTGATAGCTCTAGTTTACAGTCCATATAGAGCAGTGGCTCTTCAGTTTTTGTCAGATATGCACCGTGATGGCCTAGATCTCTTGGTATACTAGCGGTATTCATATCTAATGCCTCTCAGAGGATGAGCAATTTTTGTCCAGGTTTCCATCATATGTGGATGTAGACCATACTCACTACGCCCAAAGGTCCTTGCGCACTTTGATCTTCAAATCAGACGTAGCACGGGCAACAATCCGGTCAGCCCATTGTATCCCATTCCGTGACTGGTCATCATCCACCAGTTCAAGGGCGAAATGACTAAAGATATAGGCCAGAACAGCGTATAGCTCCATGTAAGCGACACTTTATTTCCACAATCAGCAAATCTTTTCCAAAGATCCTGGTATTTAGATGGTCTGTAAACGTACCTCATTCCAATACAGCGACGCGAGCCCTTCCCGAAAGGAACGCTATATCTTTCTAGTTCCTCCCCACCACGTATCCAGCGCTCGGGGTCGAACTTATTTGGCTCGGGAAAGATCGTTGGATCCATATGGATGACAGGGTGGGAAGTAGACACGCTGGTCTGTGCAGTTGAGCGTTAGTGAACATCTCCGAGCATAGGGTATAGTAGGGTTACTGTATACTTACACCTCCGGGTAGAAAGAATAATCCAACTTGGATGCCCTCCTTCGGGACTACACGAGGTAGATAGCCAGGAACTGGGTCTGCCAGTCTCATTGTTTCTCGAATGACACCTCCCTAGAAGAAAAGTTAGCGACGTTGTCCAACAAGAGTGGGGTCGACTTTCGCATCGCTTCGTACAAGATAAGGGAGATTTTGAATCGCTTTTGGATCGAAGACATCGCGAATTGCCGCCTTGGCTCCATCCAGCTCTGATTGAACCTTAGCCAATACGGATGGCGAATTTAGGATGTTAAAAGTGGCCCAGGATAGAGTGTAAGCAGTTGTGTGAATGCCCGCGGTCATGAAGTTGAAAGCACCATCAAACACCTCCGCCACGTTCGGTAGCGAGTTTTTGCGACTGTCAATTTCCAAGTACAAATCGAAATATGACTTTCTAGCTGGGACATTGCCAGATAACTTTCTGTGCTGTGCCTCTGCCAACCGATCGTCACAGAACTACCCCGTTGATATCAGCAATGCCCAACGGAGATATGAGTCCACACATTCAAACGTACCTGTCTGAACCTGATAATTTCCGGACTTAATTTGTTACCGACGGACGATGGGAGAGCTTTCATGACTGTTTTGATAGCCGGAAACTCCATCACTATTGATATTAGTTAAAGGGTCATGGATTAAGCGACGGGTTCACACACTGAGCCAGGTAATAGACCCCAGATTATCGACCTCATTTAGCAGAGGGTGACCATCATCGCCGGAGTCGATGAAATTGTAGCTATGAGCAAACATCAGATCACATACGACATCGCCCTTTAGTATGGAGTTAGCATCAATGAAAGTTGTGCTTTATTTTAAGGACCGAGCCTTACAATAAGCTCGCTGTAAATCTTTTGTATATCGACTGATTTGTCGTTGGCCGCTGCTGTCTGAAGGTGGCCGGCTGCCTTCTTAAGTGTCTCCAGAAGGCGAGGCTTCAGATCTAGCGTTGTTTGTGCGGAAAATAGCGAGCTCAGATAGCTACGGTGCTTTCGGTGCACTGCTGGATCGGTCAAAGAGGCCAATGCTCCATCAGCCCCCAGTGACTTGTAGAATTCGGGCTCTTTGTAAAAAGGTGCCCCTGCGCGAAATACACTATTGTATTATCGTCAATATCTGGCTCTTGCTTCTGGTGGGTGTTACTCGTACGTCTCATAAAACTCCACATCGTTCACATGCACTCGGTTTGGCGCAACGCGTATTACAGGAGAGTCTATGATCTGATGTTAGATGTTATGCTGCGAATTGGGATCATCATGGTGAAGTGAAGTGCTTTTGTACCGTATTTTTTATGTAATTCAGCAAATTGTTTACTGTATGTGCCATCTCGGATGTAATTGTAATAAAATCCATATAGGGATGTGATAGCAGCAAGTCTTGGGCCCGGGACGGAGGCGAGTGGATGAAGATAAAGAAGATCGAACGCCTTCCACAAAAGTGAGATAACGTAAATGATTAATAGGCCAGAGAGAAGCTCGTGCCAGTAGGCAAGTAATAGGATAGTCCACTTCGTGCCATCTCCCGGCGTGATAGCAGAACCGTCAACCATCATGAATTGCACAGCCACTTGAATTATGCCACCTTGAAGGTGATCAGAAAGTAGATGAACAAATAGAACAAAAGAAAGCACTGGACCAATACCCAATATACCAATGCTCATCAGCCGAAATGGAACCAGGGAGTATACCTCAAGAATACATAGTAGGGGTTGATAGAATAGCATCTCATTGTTTGTCTATTATCAGTGCAATGATGAAGTATTGCATTGCTACCTGTAAGGGGTATACAGGTGCATTCCTTCAATTCGGATTGGTCTGGCAAGGCCCGCATACTTACATTCGACTCCATAACTGCAGCTGACGTGTAATATTGTGTCGCATCCAATAGGTAGTTTTTTTCTTCAGCATCACATCGTACATTACCGGTAGCTACCTTAAATGTGCAACAGACTCCTTGCATGAACATAATGCATAGTGATATGGCTGGCTGGTGTGGAGCAGCATTCTAGAACGGGACAAAGGAGGGATTGTGCCCTTACATTCAACCAGTTCTCACACCGTATAGTTTATGTCAACGGGAATGAATGTTCGGGTACCGATAATGCTATACTATGGTTTATGATCGTTAGAACAAAGCCCAGAGACAGGTGAGAAGGGATGCTCACATCAAAAATCGCCATTGGTATCCATATCCCTAGCTAGCAAAAGAGAACAGGTCACGTCATTCAACGTACCTGGTACTGAGTTTTCTACACCAGACTTTGTAATTGACTGGTGCGCCTCAAATCAGCGGAAGCTCTATGCCACAGTGCAATATCCCGCTGGATATTCAATTCAAGCCATCATACATCCGCGACCACGGGGTCCTGCTGTGTTGCCGAGAACATCTATAACAATCACACTTCAGCCATAAACATGGCAACCACGGTCAAATCCTGGTCACACGTCCTGCTAGATATCGCCGCAGGTATAGCCCTTCATCTTCTCGTCCTTCGACATGGGGAATGGGATTTCGTCCTACCAGTCATGGTTGTCAAGCTGATTGGTGTCTGCGTGCCGCTTTTGGCCATCGGGGCACTGTTGTTTCATAATCGAATCGATATCTTTTGGCCCTGGCTATCAGCAGTAAGCCTGCGTGCGTTGAGAGTCACTGGGAGCCTCTGCATGAGCATTCTGATATACCGATGGAAATTTCATCGGCTTCGGCGGTTCCCAGGACCCCTTGGGTCCCGGTTGTCGACCGCATACATCATGTGGAAATCTGGGACAAGTAGCAATGCCTTCGAGATGGTCGCGGAGTACCACGAACAGTATGGGGACTTCGTGCGAGTGGGTAAGTTAAGTGCCACAGTCTGTTTCGTTCGTCTTCTCCGGGCGGGGGATGTAGGCTAACTCGAGTCGCCTGCTTAGGCCCAGCGGAATTGTCAATCAAACATCCGGATGCTATCGCTGCCATCCACTCCTCCAAGTCGTCATGTATCAAGAGTCCGTGGTATGATATATTGCGGCCGCATCGGTCCGTGTTTGGGACGCGGGATCGAGCAGAACATCAACGTCGCAGACGTGTATGGGATCATGCGTTTCGACCTGCCGGTAAGTGTTGCGGTAAAAAGTTGAATATTGCCATAATTGTACTCCCTGACGCGCATATGTGTGGTGATGTCTAGCTCTAAAGGAATATGAACCCTCCATGCGAGCCTGCGTGAACCAGCTAGTCGAGAAAGTCAGCAAAAATGCAGCATCAGGTACTCCTATCAATATGACCGAGTGGTTTGGGTGTCTCATGTTTGATGTAAGAGCCGCCTCTGAATGTCGAAGTACTGCTAATCATTAGTTTACCGGCAGATCATCGGTGAACTGGCGTTTGGGGAAACGTTCGGCACTCTTGCCAACGAAAAGCCACATTACATGATGCAATATCTACACGACTCAAATGTATCCACCGGAATCATGATTCGCGCGGTGTGGATTATCATGGTTTTCCGGACCATACCAATCATCAATAGAGGATTGCAGCAATTCTTAGATTTCTCTGAGACAGCAATGGAAAAGAGACTGAAGGTTCCTTCCCCGGTACTTTTGAGACCTATTGGCGATGAACTAAGCAAACAATCATACAGAGAACTGATCAACCGCGAGACGTCTTTGCTTGGCTTTGGGACGACTTTTCTGCTAAATCACCTCAGACGATAGAAGCTAGGCAGAACCTGATCGCTGATGCTTCGTTATCCGTGTTTGCTGGGAGGTACAGTGGAGCTCGAACACCCCGATTTAATCGCTTTTGTGCGTGGGATTCTAATCTTTTTGGTGACAATAGTGACACCGTGGCCATCACGATGACGGGAATCTTGTACTATCTTATGCGTTACCCAGACTACCAAAGGCGGCTACAGGAGGAATTTGACCAGGCAGAAGACAGCCACGATGGATCGGACGTTCCGGACCTTGTCAAGTTACCGCTTTTCAACGGCATCATCAACGAGTCACTGCGGCTTCACTATGCCGGCCCGTCTGGGTTTCCCAGAATCACACCACCCGAGGGGATACGGGTAGGAGAAACATTCATTCCCGGCAATGTTAATGTCAAGGTCCCTTTCTATGCCGTATTTCGGGATGAGCGGAATTTCAAGCACCCCGACGAGTTCATTCCAGAACGATGGTACAGCCGTCGCGACTTGATTCACCATCCAGAGGTTTTCGTGCCTTTCCTGATGGGGCCATACAATTGTGTTGGTAAGAATGCTGCTCTCATGCAGATTAGATGGACCATGTATTCGCTTTTCAGCCGGTTTGAGGCACAACCGTTGGACAAGGACCAGCTCCAGAAATACTGGTACCAGCGCGCTGATGGCTTTAGTATGGGGCTTGGGCCTCTCTGGACTAGATTCAAGGAACGGCCAGAACAACGGAGCTCCACAAGTCACTGACAAGAGATAAGGACATATCCTGTGCGAAGTCTACGCGACTATGTTGTATCATACCCAATGTCTCTAATATCGTGGTCGTTAGGGGTTTAACCTTGGGGAGATGTTAAACATGCAAACAGTACAAACAGTACAAACAATACAAATTCTTCTACTCTTGCCTTAGGCATAATTTGTGAGAATGTTTGCACAATTTGCACAATCTTTTACATATTGGACTTCTCACAAATTGAACGTGGGATACATATCATTGTAAAATTTCCCATATTTAGTACACCGACACTTTGCCTATTGTCAATGCGATCTACGGCGTACGGAGGAGAACACTCTCAGCTCGCCACAAGATACCGCATATTCCCTACATGAGGTGACGCCGCACTTTCGGGTCAGGATTTGGAGATCGGGACACAACGTCGCAATTCTCGATAACCAAGATGTAATCTCTCATTCCGAGGGTCGATGGCTCTGCTAGTCGCTGATCCTGCATTGCACGCGCATACAGACACACACGCTTGGTAAACAAAACGGGTATGGAGTGCTCCGTAGATACTATCCATCTTCGAAGAAGCAAGTACTTCCCATGCAAGGGGAAGTCTGTCGCAACCCACGATTGTGTCTATGCGTCCATGTCACATTTGGCTTGGCTTTCTCATCCTGATTTGGAACTGAGGTCTCAGATCGTGACTGCATGCCCTCTACGCCTACTAATGGGCCGTGGAGATGCCCACTGTCATTGGGGGTATTCATCACGTATCGGTTGTTTTAAGTAAATTGAATTGTCGGTCTGAACTGGGGCCAGTTTAGTGCTCGTGCAGACAGACAGACCCATCAATGTTAGGAGTGCAAGATTCTCATTGGGCCTTTAGGGAAACAATATATATCAATGCCGAGACAGTGAATTTAAAGCTAATCACAACTGCCTAAATCAATTTAGCATCAGTCCAAGACGTCGACCTCATACCCAACCTGAACTAGTAGCCATGACCATCGAAGCGAAGGCGAAGAAAGTTGTCACGATATTTGGAGGGACTGGTAACCAACTTCCCAAACCTGAACTAAATTCTTTAGAAGTAGCTGACCAATACAGGGAACCAGGGCAGTAGTGTGGCACGTTCCTTGCTAGCACACAAGGATAATATCTTTCACGTCCGTGTTATCACCAGAGACCCTCAATCCGACAAAGCGCAAGCCATTGCATCACTCGGGGCAGAGCTCGTCCGGGCAGATGGAATGAATCCAGTCGAAATGGCCAATGCCTTCGCTGGCAGTTGGGGGGTGTTTATAAATACCAATTCGGATGATGAGGCAGGTTCTCCATCAATTTTCCCCTGCTCGGTCAGATATGTACTTACTGAGGTTGCATGTGAATAGGCCTTGAAGTCATTAGATGGTCCCAGTGACTATGACCTCGGCGCGACGGTAATCGATGCTGCAGAGAAATCAGGCGTCCAACATGTGGTCTATAGCTCTGGACCATCCATCACCAATGCTACAAAGGGCAGAATGCATATCGAAGGATTTGAGAGTAGGTAATTCCTCTACAACTATTGCTACATTTGCTGATCTCCCAAGCCAAGTACCATGTTGAGCAATATGGGCGCAAGAAAGCATTTGCTAGCTTCACTCCCATATTATGCGCCTCCTTCATGGAATGCTTCTTCTATGATCCCTTTGTGGATGCCTTTGGTGGTTTCCCTTGGAATCCTGACCCGGAGACAAATGAATTGGTCTTCAGAACCCCGCCATATGGGGGAAAGGGTGATATGCCCTGGGTTAGTTGTGAGGTCGATCTCGGGGACATTGTTCATGGCATCTTTTTGAATCCGTCCAAATACAATCAGATTCTGGTTCAAGCAACAAGCCAACAAATTGCAATGAGTGACATAGCAGCGTCATACACACAAGGTATGCCCATCTCCTCCTTGTCCTTTTTTCATAGGCGTCGAGTCTTTTCAGGTGACTAAGAATCATTACTTACAGCCACTGGAATTCCTGCTCGATACGAGGAGATGCCATCCTGGTCTAGCATTAAGCTCAACGGTACACGGTGCCGAATCGAGACTCGCCAAATGTTCTGGTACATGAACTCTTGCGGTGGCCGGTGGTTTGCAGAGCACGAGAGCGACATGTCGACCGCGGCGGTCTTGAAAGAATCTGCAATGGCAGCTCGAGGCCAAGTTGGAGGTCCTACTACATTTCAGAGCTGGTTTAAAAAGGCGCATCTCCTCAAATCCCAAAGTGTGTGATATTTCAGAATTGTGTCTGGCAGTTGAAACCCTCATCTCATGCCACTGATGGCTGGAAGGACGTCTCGACTGTGTTTACCATGTGCCATTCCTTGTATCCAGTGCTTAAGCAAAATATATGTCCTGATAGATATATAATCGAATTGTTTCTAACAAATATCTCGCGTTCTTGAAGTTTTAAATACGAAGCAATGAGTTATAACCTGCGTACTCAACAAAACACAGCATTGGCTTAACCCCCTAACCGATCTACTTGCTATTTAAATTCCGTGTTACAGTAGACTTATAGATGATGTGACGCAGACGCTGATAGAGGGAAAAAAGAATCTTCTTGTTATAGTGTTTTGTTGAAAATCGGTGTATCTATGCATTGGAATTATCACTCGATAATCATGTCACGGTAACACATATCCCAATAACCTTTATAAAGATAGATATAATCTATTCAACAGTCATAGGGCGTTTATCACAATAATGTATCTTTAGGGGTTGATAAAAGTATTCTATGATACAGTCGACATATGGTTGAGGGTGTTCGGGGGTAATATTTGCAACGAGGCCAGGCCCATTTTGCCTGCTATACTCCCTACTGACAGGGGTTGAAAACTGTACTATTGGTCTGGAGCCACGGTAATGATGCAAATCTGTGGCATTAAGCCCAGATTTTATGATCTTTGATCAGGACACGACCTCTAGGGCAAAGAAGGATAAAGCAAATAGGAGCTGAATTTCGTGGGTAACCCGTGGGTACTCATTTACGGGTTATTGGTTAGAAGCTGGTGTGTTTATGGGCTCAATGTTCCTCCATGGCTGTCGGAGTATTGTTCATGAGGCACAGCTCAGCCTTCGACTGCATGTTCCCACCGAGTATGCAAGGAGAATAATTTTTCATATAACTCGGGTTTGTGGCATTCCTTAGTCCCTGGCGTCTTGATGTAGCTTTCTAGCCCCATCTTGTGCGCCACTGAGCTGGAAAGGGTATGTCAGTGAGTGAAAGCTTGTCGCACGAATGAAGGGATTTTAGCGGTCAATGATCGCTGATCGACGTTTGTACATTGACCTGTAGACGTACACATCATATATAAATATATGCTAACTGATTCACACCTATTACACACCTCCTTTTCCCACTTTGAAGTGTAGAAGCTTATTTCTTCAGATGTCCATGCCAGTATGGATAGCCCAGGTATTCTAACTGTCGTGTACTCTCGCTTGGGACGTTTTCCAGAGATCAAAGCTGTCTGTGGCTTTCTTGCTGTCTGGGCGCTTTTTCGCTGGATTCGCTACTATCGCTCATGGGTATGTGTCCGAAGATGCCCCCTCGGTATCACGACCATGGCTAAAAGACGCGTTAATAGATTAATCTTCCCACTGTTGGGCCTAAGGGTTTCCTGGCGTCTAGATGGTCCGGGCTAAAGTGGCCCGCAAACTGTGACCAACTCCTTAACGAGGGATATGTCAAGGTTCGTTTGTGGCGCGGAACATAAAGCAGGAAAAAGCTGACATGATTTCAAGCATGGCGACTATGCGTTCCAGGTACGGACTCGGGACAGGTGGGAGGTGTGTGTATGCAACGACGACATGGTCCGCGAATACCAAGTCCTTTCTGATGAGTATGCATCTCTAGATGCAGTCAGTGAAGATGTAAGTTCTTCTTGTCACCAGAGACCACGAAAGGGGAATTCTGACATACTGATGTCCACAGCTCTTTCAGACCATGTACACTTGCCCAGGCGTCGCGGACTCACTTAAACATGTGCCCGTGGCGGCTCTCTCAAAGGCTGTGGTTTGGTCCAGAAACCGAACAACGGGGAAGCATTCCACATACTTCCAGGAGTTGGTTAAGGAGCAAGAATTTGGGTTGAAAGCTGAACTTGATGTTTCTTCAGGTGGTAAATTGCCCCCTTGGCCCGCGAAAAGGTGTAGCCCCGGCTAACATTTACATGTGCGGCCAGAATGGACCGAGTTCAACTGCCTCTCGGTTGCACTTGCGCTGATGCTACGAATGATCGGCCGAGTGTTGGTCGGCCACCCACTCTGCCGGGATCCAGAGGCCATCTCGTTGTTCATGAGGTACGGCTCAGCCGTCCCAGTCAGTGGATATCAAATTTCGTGGTTGCCGCGTATATTAAGACCGTACTAAATCCCCCAAATTTTGCGTTTGAGACAAAGTTGATTTAACTAACTATTTGCGTAGCTTGTTGGGTCCTCGTTTTGCCGCTTCCAAGATGCAAGTTGAGCTAAGCACTCTCATAGTCGAAGACATGATGCGCAACGCCGATGCAAATGATGACCAGCTGGTCCGTATCTGACACCTGAGCATCTCCCTATGCGATAATTCTGACATTTTACACAGACGCTCGCGCAATGGGTTTGGCGGTGGACAGAGCGAGAAACGCCCGGCGAGTACACCCCATTCGACGTGGCTGGATTGCTAGTATCATCTATCTTCGGTGCAGTGCATACAGCTGGCTCGGTAGGGACATTCCCGCATGTGAATTAAATTGAAGATGCTGATGGCAACTCAGGTGCTCACCAAGTCCTTCTATGAGCTCACTCAACGGCCGGAGTATATCGAAGTTCTTCGCAGCGAAGTTGAACAAGCCATGCGCGAACATGGAGGTGTCGGCAGGGAATCCATCGAGGCCATGACAAAATTGGACAGTTTCATCAAGGAAACCATGCGCCTACAACCTGTCGGTCCAGGTAAGTTCACAGCGCATTCACTTTCTACCAACCATGATTACCTGACACCTTCCCACAGCCGCAGTCCATCGAGTCATGAAGAAAGACTATACCTTCAAGAATGGGGTAAAGCTACCGAAGGGGACATTCGTCTTCGCCCCAAATACACAGCTACATATGGATGAGCGCCTTTATGACCAACCGGAAGAGTTCGATGCGTTGCGATTCCACAAACTCGGGCAAGTGTCGGGAAAGCCAAATAACTACAAACTTGCCGGCTCCAGTCCCAAAACGCGTCAGTTTGGTGACGGGAAGCACGCATGGTCAGTTTAACCCCAGAATTTATTTACTAGAAGATCCGCGTTCCGATACTGACTCGTCATAGCCCCGGGAAGCAGCTTGCTGCTGATCTGCTACGTATCATCATGGCCCACTTCCTGCTCAACTTCGACATCCGGAAGTGCGATGAGGACGTAAGCTACCCGCCTATGGAGCAGCGAGGCATGTCGATCAGGCAGCGCAAGTGTTCAGCATGAAGAATTAGGATAAGGAGCTTAGCTTTCTACCCGCCGACGAGAATAGCACTTGTACTATGTCGAGATGCTGAAATCAGTGAACAGGAGTCAACCCTTTTCTAATTAGAGCAACTGACAGCTAATGGCATTAGGCCTTAGGATATCTCATTTCTGGGCACTTAATTGTGTGTTGTGGTACGTTTGTATTAAAGATATAATATAGAGCACTTTGTCTCTGCTTTTGACAGAAATATTTTCGGGAAGTTGAGTCGCATCGAGACTAAAAATAAGTTTGTATATAATACGCATATCGGCGTATAAGCTCGGTATCTTCTACTACAAAGTTAGTGATATGCAATATCAGTGTCATCGGCGCTAGTAGAGAGTTACATGGCCAGCTGCTGCACCAGGGCCTCATAGGGCTGTCTTTCTCTGCACTCAATAACACTACATACATTACACTAGTTGTGGCAAAGCAAACTCGACACGTCACGTTCTGCACGATTCTGAGCTGTAAATGCGGTGAACCCAGACTCTCTGTCCATACAACCAAAACTTAGAGAAGTGGACATGCCAAATTGTGGCCCCTTGCGGGACCATTGGCTAACTATCGATGGCCCGATCTACAGAGTGGTCATTCCAATCTTGAAGCATCCTTTTGGCTCTAGCCAGCCACTTTTGCCCTTGCCGAATACCCGCTGACCAGCCCATGATGGGGTGTGCGTGTTCATACGCGTTGGCCAGGTGCGAATAAGGCCTCTCTTCAACCTATTGAATAGTTAACAATTTTCCAATACATCTCACTTCATCTAGACTTTTGGTAATCAGGCAAAAAGTCTCTGCTAATCCCGTTCTTTCAAGACGCCATGACGATTCCTAGCCAGCGCAAGACGATCACCGTGGTCGGAGCTACCGGTGAGCCACACTCATCCCATATTCCGTTTGGTTTCATTGGGGGCTTTGTGAATATCACTGAGGTTGTTCCTAACACGACTCGGCGTGGATAGGCAAACAGGGGGGTTCAGTTGCCAAGTCGCTTCTCCAAAACTCCAAGTTTAATGTGCGATGCCTGACTCGAAATGGGTCGTCGAAAAAGGCAAGCGAGCTTCGTGCAATGGGGGCAGATGTCGTGCAAACAGATGGCTTTGACGAAGATTCAACCCGCGATGCAATCGCTGGTAGCTGGGGCATATTTATTAACAATGGATACTCAAATACGGTATTTCAATCTCTTCTACCTCCGAGGAGTCGACGAGGAATGACCCCAATTGACCATCAATAGGACGATGTGAGAGAGGGCCGGTATGAACTGGACTTTGGGAACCGCATTCTACAAAGCGCTGCTGCCGCTGCAATCCCGCATGTTGTTTTCAGCTCCCAGCCATCAGCAGAGGAACTCACCAATGGCAAAATTCGCACCCCCATTTTGGATGGTATACATAAGCTCTCCCAAGCACCCATCGAGATGATGGGGCGTTGGTTTCCAGATATGCTGACCGATTCGCAACAGTCAAGGCATGGGGCGAGACATGGGGACGAGCAAACCCAGCCTTTACCACCTTCACCCCAATCATGTGCTCTTGGTACATGGAAGACTTCCTAATGCCATCATTCTATCAGGGGTTCGGTGGATTCCCGATGAACAAGGATTCCGATGGACTATTCACATTACGCAGTCCATTGATCGGCGGTGGTGAGAGGGTGCCTTGGATATGTATCGATGAAGATTTTGGGGACTTGGTTCATGGAATCTTCCTGAACCCGGTTCGTTGGAATCGTCGCACTGTCCAAGCCGTTGGTGATATCCTGTCCTTTGCGGATGTTGTGGACACCTTCGCCCGAGGTAGGACGAATCCTTTTGCCCATCCCTTCTGACGCTGGGGCTATACTAACATTATATTTACAGTGAGGAAGCAACCGGCACGGTTTATCGGACACGAAGACCCTGAAACGTTCCCGGCTTTTGAGAAGCCCGAGTTGAAAGAGTCCAAAGATGTATTCTCGTTCTATCAAATGCGAGATGGCGAGATATTTGGGTGTGGAATCACCGAATCTCAGACCTCGGCCGAACTGAAGAGAGCGGCTACTCAGGCTAAAAGGTGCTCTGGGGGCCGGGAATCTCTTATGACATGTGCTGAATGGTTCGCAGACGTCTTTCCACAACACGCGTAGTTTACAATTTATTCTACGTTCAGACAACCCAATTTATTTTCAGTCAACGGTGTTCATGAATATAATATTTAACATCTAGTCATATAAGGATATAGCCATTGAGAATGATTTAATAAAAGCTGGTGACTATGAACGGCCCAATTGGTACTCAGCCCCTATAAGATGTGGGACCTGCCCCCAAGCCAGATGCCCATAGCCCCCGACTTCTCTGTTTTATCAACTATGGTAATAGTAGCCTATCAAATCATTACCGACAATGCATATCTCAAAATCAGGTTTGCAATCGAATGGTTACGTGATAGCTCTACTATTGAAATACATAGGAACTGCAACGCGATAAGAATCGAGGGGTATCCCTCGTGTCATTGGATTCCTTACGCCTACATTGGCACCATGCAGTGGTACCCTCTCGATTCTTGTCCACCCTATCCCCTTGCTTCTTTTCGCCTATCGGTTTTATGGTGGAGATGGTGGGGGGAAGAGGCGTTATGTATGTTCTTTCCTGATACTGGGACTCAGCTACGCCCGCCTTAGCCCTAGCAAAGGCCTGCACTCTTTTGGGGCCGCTAGTGGGTATTAAAGATCCAAATTCTTGACTACGTGCCCAAAGTGGTCCACATTATCCTCGGTCGCAATTAATGGCATTCTGGTTGGCTGCTGTTATTGTGCTCCTCGCCCTCGGGCTGGGGCCTTACTTGCCTGATACCTATGGGTCTCAATGCCGGTGTGGACCACAGGATAATTGCTGGCCCTCACCGGCGGCTTGGAGTGCACTCAATGACACCGTCGGTGGTCATCTGGTGCAGTTACGCCCAGTGGGAACCGTGTGTCATGAAGCACAATACTCCAACGGCTCTTGCAGTGAGCTCATTCAAAACTTTCGCAATACTACATGGCGTGTTGACAATCCCGGTAAGTTTAATCCGATGCTGTGGAGTGTCCGAGGAAACTGTCATCCATACTGACCAGTCGCCTTTTCGCAGCCGCGTTACAGATACACACATGGGAATATTCGCGCCCACAGAAGCAAAGCTGTCACCTTAGTGACCCCAAAGAACTTGGCCTATGTGCCCAGGGACGCGTAGCACGCTACTCTGCTTATGTACAGTCCGTCTTGGAAGTGCAGGAGGTGGTCCAATTTGCCGCTTCTAATCGCCTGCGGCTCGTCGTTCGCAATACTGGCCACGATCTGGCAGGTCGTTCATCGGCCCCCAACTCCCTACAGCTCCATACCGCTGGTCTTAAGGGTATCCGTCATGTTGAATCGTTTACTCCTCAGGCTCCCGACGGTCTGTCGATTCCATCACAGGGTCCGGCGGTGACGGTGGGGGCCGGGGTACTCACAGGAGAGCTCTACTCCGCAGCTGCAGAGGAAGGATATACGGTTGTGGGAGGAAGCTGTAGTACTGTCGGTATTGCGGGAGGTTGGATGCAAGGCGGTGGCTATGGTATTCTCACACCGTCGCGAGGCCTCGGGGTCGACAATGTGTTGGAGGTCGGCATCGTCACAGCACAGGTAAGTGACTGATCGGTCATCCCTACGTCGCAGGTGATGGACTTAGTTCGCTGCAATTACCGCTGACGTATTGGGGATTCTAGGGCATCTATGTTATAGCAAACCCGTACCAAAACCAAGACCTCTTCTGGGCCGTTCGTGGGGGCGGCGGGGGCACGTTTGGGGTCATCGTGCACGTCACGTTCCGTACCTACCCCGATGTACCTGCAGTCGTCTCGAAGCTGAATATTTTCAGTCCCCATGGGCCGGACTCTGCCTTCTGGGACACTGTTACCGATCTGCTCCACACGATCCCTGCCCTTGTCGATAGCGGCGACGCTGTTCAGGCTTTTGCGATGCCAGTCCTTCCTGGCAACCAGTCATTCCTCACTATCGAGTCCTATCTCATCGATGATACTCGTGCAATTGGCCTCAATGTCCTCAATGAGCTGCGCACACGCATCGAGAAGCGTGGATTATCAGTGGAGTCATCCGATGAGTCCTTCGATCGATTGTCCACGTATCTTGCGGTTCCTAAAGGCTTAGACCAGGCGGGCGTGGGAATGATGACTGCGTCGCGACTGGTTTCGCGTGATTTGATGACATCAATCAAGGGACCTTCTCGAATTAGCCAGACGTTAGCAGAGCTCAGCTACGGACCTGGAGACGTGCTCAGTTTTGAGGGGACGGCCGGTGGGCCTGCGGTCCAGCGGAAAGACACAGCAGACAGTGCAATCCATCCATCCTGGAGATCTGCATTGATGTCTCTAACTCTGGGTCGCGGCCTACCATCAGAGCCGGATTGGGACGCCTATGACCGTATTCAGAACGAGCTGGTTATGACACAACTTCCGGCGCTTCAGTCCCTCGAGGAGGGGGCGATGGGAGGCTACCTGGGCATACCATTCCCATATGAGAGCAACCCTTCTCACATATTCTGGGGACCCCACTATGACAAGCTTCTGGCACTCAAAAGACGCTGGGATCCTGATGATTTGTTCATAACCCGATTGGGGGTGAACTCGGAGCGGTGGGATGACGAAGGCATGTGCCGAGTAGATTGGAAGCAGCGTTACCTAGGGCAGTATTATAATCTTATAGATCGGGTGCAAGCGTGGACAGGACAGGTGGTACCCAAAGTCTCGCCAGCCTGATTGTACAGATGTAGGCCGTTGGGCGCTGGCCTCATGTTCAAAAATAGGCAAACATTTTAGTTCAGGCAGTGGAATATGGTGACATCCTTCTTTCGGATTCCACCAACGCTTATATTACTAGTATGAATAGTTTAGACACCAATACAGTTCGATTTCGGCTAATAGTTTCTCAATATCAATTTCCTTCTGAGACAGTTTATCCTAATCTTACATGTAGTGTAGTTTAGTTCTACATACTTACCCTACTAACAGTGCTGTACATAACCTATCTCATACGTATATGTATACTAAGGTGAGGAGAAAATTTTTTTTTTTGAATACTAAACGTAGATATAAGGAACCCAAATAGATGTCATTGAAGTGACATCTAGTATGATGCCGTAATGTCTAGAGGGAACTGTGGTAATAAACACTCAGATACATGCCTGTCTTCTCCGAATACGCCATTGAGACATATTGTATCAAGTTCGACGTCTCCCCAGATTCAAAGTTCGGGCTGTTTATTAAGGAGTTAGCAAGGATGGTCACTATGGTATTCGATGAGGAGGGTAACCGTACAAGTATCCTTTGACTGAATCGATGTAGCTTGCAGCCAAGTCATGCCATCCAAGGGAATCGTAGAACTTGACAATCGCCTGAGCATTTTCCATATCATTCATGCCGTGCATAATAAAATAATACTTGGGGTTGGGGAAGTCGGTACTTCCGGGCGCCAGTTCGTAGCTCCAGATTCCAACACCCATTTTGTCCTAGATTCACATAGTAAGTGATTGAAGCTAGGTGTCAGGAAGGAGAAATTTGATTACTGACCTGATCCGAAGTGAGAAGCTTCCAGAATTGTTGGATGAACTGCATCCCTCGCTGAGTGGTGGCATGGGATTCAAAGCGACCGCCCAGAGTCCATATGTCTCGTAGCTTGGACCATGTCACATCTTGAATTGTGTTATAAACTTTGAGTCGAGACTTGGAAGCGGTAGTACAATCAATGCCGATGAAGGAATACTGGTTGTACAGCCCTGCACCCTCCAGATATTCGTGGATAGTATCCAAAGCAGGGTACGAGACCTCATTGCCGAGAGACTGGACCGCGTCGTTCAACAATTGTCTGAAAGATTTGCCGGTCAAGTGCGACTTCAGGGACGGATACAAGTAGCACTTTACAGAGACTTCTCCGCCTTTGAGATCAAGCCCGAAGGACACTTGGTTCTTCATCCTAGTAAGATACAATTGATCGCGACCAACCTCGGCGGCTTCTTCCGGGGTGGCAGTGAGGGATCCTATCATATGATGGAGGAACTTGGTGTCGAAGCCCTTGAGATTGAGTTGGGACATTGTGTCGATTGCCCGTCTGACAGTGTCATGATTGATCGGGTCTGCTGCCGAACCGGACTGCTGGCTCACAGGCTCCCATCCGATCCGAGCTGTTGGAGCCCCATGTTGCTGGAAGTTGATGCTGAATTCCACTGGAATTCCAGAATATGTGATGAACGAGTCCCAGGTATGGGGGTGTGGGCCGAGTCGTGGAATCAGCACAGTCCTATACAGCGTCATGTAAAGATATTGATCTTGAACACTGTACTGGGCGGACTGCAGGACTTTTGCCAGTAATGGTCCCGTCTTATCCCACCAAGCCTGCTCAGTGGGGTTCTGAAAGGCAAAGCACTTCAAAGGTGGAGTCGAGTTATTGGAGACAGCATTGCCTCCAGCTTTCACTGATGGGATGGGAGGATTGACAGTCATTGTCGCTTTGTGTGTGGAACTCAGTTGTGCAGCGGATGGGAGTAGCCAGGAAAGGAATTTGGCACTACAACATAGATAGATGTGTGCATATGTATTCTGTACTCCCGATGGATATTTCACGAAAATGGTCAATGTGGGCTGAGTGAATTTACTTGAACCTTACGCCTGGTTAATGCATGTGCTTGAAGTTGTCGTGTCCTTTGCAGACATGTCATTCTTTCCAAGATGCAGCCATAAACCTGTAACCTGTAATATGCAAGGGCTAGATAGGCGGTATGTGCTGTTTAGATAGGGCATGTTTCTGGACTACTGCTGTATGCTGATGCATGAGGACGTAGATTTAATGGCTTCCAATGAGAGTGCTGAAAGAAGAATGTGATGAAGAGGGATGATGAGGCTAGCTGAAGGAGAAATCAGCGTCCACACCGATTAGTCTGATTAGTCTGTGAGGAAGGAACCTTGGAAGCAATGGCAACATGTAACTGCCATTTCGAAATTCTATGACACCCAAGGAGAGTTCTTATTCTCAAGATGTAAACAAATGTTTGAATTGGAAAGAGCAATCTCAATGAACTGGGAAGGTGCGAATGCTGAGAGTATAACCCCCCCCCCTTCATTTTCGACTTTTCTCTTCTTTTCTCCTCCTCGGCTAACATAAGTGCGGTCTACGACAGAAGTAACAAGTAGTATAATCCATGGTGATCAATATCTCTTATTTCATTTCAGATAGATATAGTATCCTAAAATTGAATCCCAGATCAGATTCATCCACTGCAAGAGACTCAACTGCTTCGTTCGGTCTCCTCCAGTTTCAACCATGGATACTCATCCGAGGAATGGTAGTAGACACTCAGGTAAACCCCCGTCTTTTCCGTATATGCGAAGGAAATCCATGATGTAAGACGAGCCGTCTTACTCAAATCTCTCTCGGGGCTGTAACAGTTAGCGGATTGATTGATATTAGGTGAGAGTGGAAAGGAGTGGGATATCATACAAATAGTGCTGAACTGTCGCCTCGTAGTTGTCACCATATTTGGAAAGCCCGATACGAGACAAGAACTCAGCCAGGCCACTGATAACATTCTGATCACTTTCTCCGTGGATGGGGAAGTAAAACTTCGTGAGTGGGGTGGCCTCGCCCTTCTTCATCTCGTAATTCCACACCATCGGGCTGCTGGTGGACTTGTCGCCGTCGTCAAAGCCACCATTAAAATCACGATGCCCCTCAGACAGCTTGGTCAGCTGCCACAGTTCTTTCAAGTACTCTAAGCCTCGTTGAACGACAGGAGACTTGGCTCGGCCGCCGAGAGTCCATATCTCCTCAACCTTGGACCACACGACACTGTTGTGTGAGCTATAGAGCTTGAGGCGCGATTGAGCAGGGTCAACGCAATCAAATGACCAGAAAGCAAATTGGCTGTAGCCATTGGTTTCTTCCAAGTAAGCGTGCACCATATCAAACGAGGGGATGGGCCCCATTTGCGCTGCGAGGGGCTGGATTGATTCAGCTATGAAATTGCCGAACCCCTTCTCGTTGACATTGCATTTGATGGCTGGGAATGTGTAGCCTTTGACGGAGATGGTCTTCTCCTTCAGATCGAACCCGAAAGCCGCTTGGGAGGTTAGTTCGCTCCCTTCGATCTTCTTTTCTTTCAGCAACCCTCTTTCGTGGGCATTGACGGTATGCACATCCAAGAAATACCGGAACAGCTCAGGGTCAAAACCGGGGATTTCCAACTTTTCCAGTTGGTTCAAGAGATCGAATGTTGGTTTTTGGTTGTAGGGGTCTTGTTCTGTGCCAGACGCTGCAGCGACGGGCTCAAATCCGATGCGGACCACCGGGTCGACGTTTCCATTTTGCTGGTAGTTAACGCTAAATTCCACGGGGAGCCCACTTCGAGTAATGGCGCTGTGGAAAACATATGGGTATGGACCCAGTTGTGGAATCAAAACTTGACCGTAAAACGTGAGAGCCTCCAAGCGTCGGGCAGGGTTATAACCAGCTGAGGCCAAGATTTTGTCCAACAGACGGCCAGTCTTCTCCCACCAGACTTTCTGATGACTATTTGTGAAGAGGTAGTATCGACTCAGCACGTCAAAGGTGGTGGACATGGGAGAAGTAGAGGCTCCCTTGGCCATCATGCCCAGGGGCACCTGATTCTGAGCCGTTTCAATCGTCATGGTGTCAGTACACGTGAAAGGATCGATATAGGGCTGAGTTGTTCCGACCTAGGTTTAAAGCGGTTTTCAAGGTAAATATAAGCACCGAACAAGACAAGGCCAAGACAAATGCCAAGTACGTGATGTATCGCACCCTTGAAGAGATACATGACATGTGCTTTCTTCCCACCGCTAGTCGTGACCGGATCGGCCGTCGTCGTATTGCAGCTTGACTGGCCATCAAAGGCAAGGGATGATAACAGCCACACTATGCATGGCACGCACATTACACTCGCAGAGCTGTGGATCAGAACTTACACGTCATTAGATTGTATTATTCACAGAAGATTACGTTGGGGGAGATAATCCCCAACGGGCAGCTAGGGCTTGCAATTTCCACACCCCAGATGTCCAATTTGGATCTGATATGATATAGTCGACACGGAACACCCTGATATTGTTGGCTTATTACTGAGCAAGCAGGAAGTAATGTATGCAATTGATAGGAATTGTCTTCTATTTGCTTCTTCAAACCAACATCAAGCCCCCATTGCTCTCCAACACGGTTCCGGTGACGAATTGGTCCTTCATAAGATACAGATACGCCTGTGCTACACTCTCTGGGGTGCCAGCACCACCCACCAAGGACTTTTCTTTCGCCATTTGAATAGCCATATCGTAGTGCGGACCTAGCATTTCCCGTACGACCTCCGTCATAACCGCCCCTGGAGAGACGACGTTCACGCGGAGAGGCTTCAAATCGACGGCCAATCCCTTCATCATCGTCTCCACTGCTCCAAGGTATCCAATAATGGCGGACCAACCAGGATCAGGCTTGTGCCCGTGGGCACCGCTCGTAAGAGTGAGAGAATTTTCCGAAGCTCGATCCATGAACTGGGGCAGGTATTTGGCGAATATCAGAGGCGCCGTATACCGAATGCGGCCCGATCGCTCGACACTGTGAACAGTGATTTCGGCCAGCGGCGGCGGAGGAGGCATCATATCTGCGGCGGTGATAATAACATGGTTTATCTTCGCCCCGTTGGCTGAGAATCGCAGCACTGATTGCACATTTTCCTCCATGTTTTCGGCGTCGGCAAGATCAATGGTAATTCCTCTTAGTCGCGTTTTGGAGCTTTGCGATGGATATGAGAGTTTGAGTCTGGATACGGCCTGCTCCAGTTTGACTGGGTTGGATCCGGTCACAATCACAATGGCATTGTGTTCCAGTGCGGCCTCTGCGACGGCGTAACCAATTCCTGAAGTCCCTCCCACGATGAGCACTATTTTGTCGCTTAAGCGGCCTACGTATTTTCCTGCCTGGCCGGTCATCCTTATTTTTTCTTGCAGGATATGGATGGATGATATTCCTGTGTCTTTATCCCCAGATCCAAAGTTTTGAAATATTAAGATACGGCTCCCGCATGTTGATATAGCAGACACGGTACTTTATACCATGTACGAGTAAAGACCTAGGCCCCAAGGAATGAGACTCATCTAAAAATGCATAGGATGAATCCAGGAGAATGCAAGGGTTAGGTTGCATGCATGTTTAGATGCACATCCATTTTGGCCATAGCCTCGGTTTATACAGATAAAATTTATGTACAGTGGGATTTCTTAGGGCTCTATGATGGAGGTAAGATATTCTAACATTCGATTGATATAGGTTCTTGTAGTAAATCAGTTATTCTTTTCGGGTATAAGGTGGAAGATGAATTACGTCTTACTAGAAGCGCAAGCAAAGTCCATTGTAGATACTAGATAGTATTGTTACAGCCTGCCCCTGGACTGGCGAGTTACACACTAGGCCAAAAGGACCACGATATCTGAGCATTATGCTCAGATATTCCAGGCTCCGATATATATAGTGCATGACGTGACAAAGGGAAGAGATATCAAGCAATGATGACTCCAGTGCCCGGTGGAATCTACATATTACATGGAGAACCAGAAGCAAAGACAAGTTCACGTTGTATCATTATCTGAAACGGAATGGTGAGCCCATGTCGCGCTAAACTCTGGTGTATAACTATGTACCTCCTATGTTAGTTACCCTAGTGTAGTTCATGTTGACCCGTAAATGACGTCACTTGTCTGAGGTAGATTACAGCTTGTAGATTTATCCAATTCAAAAACCTAACTCCTTTCTCAATGCCAACAGCCAGCAAAACAAAATAGCAGATCTCTCACAATGGCCATAACTCCACTTTCAAATACTCAAGTGACCACCCGCCAGATTCCCGAGTGGCACCATATACCGAACACTTCTATCCAGTCCAAGCCGCTCATGATATACCATGGAGCCTTCGATGCCACAGCCCCAGAGCTCGAGGAGCACCTAAAGGGGGTGGGCGAGGTTGTTCCTCAATGGGTATATAGCATGTATAGACAAACCCACTTCCATTCCACAACACCAGAGGTGCTCGGGGTCATTTCAGGGAGCGCGCGTCTTTGCTTCGGGGGTGAGGAGAATCCCGAGCGATTTGAGCCGACTGTCCAGCGCGGCGATTTGATCATCGTACCCGCGGGAGTGGGTCATCGACTCTTAGAAGACCTGCACAGGAACCAGGAAGAGTTCCAAATGGTTGGTGCATATCCACGCGGTAGACAGTGGGATATGTGTTATGGGAAACCGGAAGAGAAAGCAAAGGTGCAGAGAATCAAGGATGTGGCTTGGTTCCGTCAAGATCCGCTGTATGGCGCCGACGGCCCTGCTTTGCACGTCTAGATATAATTGCGCGTGCGCAAAATCAAATCCCGCTCAAATGGTATATTTAATCAACAATCAAAGATGCATGAAACACTACTACAGCCGGATATCACTGTGTAACTCTTTCGACAAGCCTAGTAGATCGTTAGAAAATGGAGCAGTACGCCAATTATAGAAAGGGGGCTTACCTGAGAACACTAATCGAAAATGTCATGAGCCAAGCCAAAAGCGCAACCAGCAACACGGAAGCAAGTGCTTTTTGTCGTACGCATATAGCATCATTCTGAGGATTGATCTGTTGGTTGACCTCCGCTTCGGTGCAGGATCCAGTCACCTCGGTGAGCGAAAAGAAGGCCAAACTCAGATTGGCGGAATCGAAGACGATAAAGAAGATATCCAAAAGGAGGAGACGCGCTTTAGCCGAGGCAGAGCGCAAACCCAAAGGCTTAGACGTGTATTCATCGAATGTGATGTATAAGAGGTAAACCAAGGCGACTGCATCAACTATGATTGCCATCAATGCAGATGGGCCTTGAGAACGATGCCCTTGATTGGCCATGTGCTGGATCGACCCACCCAGAGCAAGTGCAGAGAGTGAGAAGCACCAAACAGTCGTTCTAAGGATCATCGGTATCATCGGGCTTCGCAGAAGCGTCTTCTTGAAACGCTTGACCCAGATATCCCTTCGGTCCCCACTGTGTAGTGGATACTCCGGACTATCGCCCTCCAAATGCTTTCCTCGCCATGGTTGTAAGTAATCACCGTGATTCTCATTCAACCATTCTGGTGTCACTTGTTGTTGCTCTCTACCGGGCTCTCGGGGGTATTGGATGGTTCGTGAGAATGACATCCATCGCGATTCACGGTTGACAAATGGCGAGTCATCCTCGAACAGGCCATTAGTTGTCGCGTGAGTAGGTTGGGTCTTGGACGATGCGTAGGGCGAGTGATTGTGCTGAGCGACAAATGCGCCATTTGGTTGGGATGGTAGTAAGCGATCGGTTGCCTTAGCTTCATCTCCGTCCTCTTCGGGCTCATCGACCGAACGAATCCAGGCTACAAAGATCTGGAATTAGTGGATGATCGTTGGATCGAGCTTTAATTGGGACCCATACCAGGTAGGGATCGGAGTGCGGATTGTTGGGAGTACGCGATTTCTTCGTGTATCTGGCCGTCTGTACGTGAAAGTGTTGAATCGGAGGTTTTATTGCGAACAGCAGATTGGGTATCGACGCTAAGCTGGCCTGGTAGTGATGACTCCGGGATGGTCTGGATCTTCTCTGTCTTCTCATTGAAGACTGGCCCTGTAGCACTATCTTTGGAGCTGTCCATGATAAAATAAAATAAAAGGACTTGTTGGGAATCGCGGGAAACGTCACCCGCGAATCCCCAATTTCGCAAGCTGAGAGATAGGAGGCTATGCTCAGGGCAGGATGATCTCCCTACGAAAATGGCGGGAATGACGTCTCGATACTTTTGCTTACTCCATCCCTTTTCACCACACTAAAAAAAAGTAAAAAAAAACCCCTTCACACAACTATTTATTGTGAAGTCTACTACTATTTCTCTTTTCTATCTTGAGAATATTCGATATCTACCTCCTCGAATTATTGTCCGTTCTCAATCGTCTTAGGCATCCACCATGCGCCTGTTCCTAATTCCGATCTCGACAAAACGAGTCCTCGTATATGCTCGACCCCTTCGCAAGGATTTAGCGAAAGAGCTGTCAATCCTCGATCGCATCACAACAAAGGCGGCGGAAACATGGGCGAAGTGGGAGGAAGCCGACAAAGGATGGAAGATGCACCTTGTTCGTTGGGGAAATAGTGTCCAGCAACGGATACCATACGAAGAATGGGCCCTCAAGAGCATTCCTTCATTCAAAACCCAGCAGCGCATTAATGGAGATCATGGAAAGACCAAAATTGATGTGCTATTCCCTGGTAACGCGGTGCGGTTGGACCGAATTCAGGATGTGTTGCGCAAAATCGCCACCGAGAGACAAGAGCTTCATCGGAAGAAGATGATGTGGAGCTTGATTGCTGCACCAATTACAGCACCCCTTGGGTTGATACCAGTGTATGTGGTTCGCATGCGCCCTCTCCGGCGATATGATATACTAATGAGGAGCAGGGTTCCGAATATTCCCTTTTTCTATCTGGCATACCGGGGCTGGTCCCACTGGCGCGGTTAGTTTGATCTTGTACTCGGACACATTCCATGAAACTGACGAGTATATACAGCATTGAATGGCTCAAAACATCTAGAACTTCTCGTTGAAAAGAACATCCTCAACCCCATCTCATTACCGGAACTAGAACAGCTATATGCCAAACGCGCATCTGGAACTATCGAAGGCACTACGAACGATACACCATATTCCGAAATTGCCGACGGCATCGAACAAAGTGAGGACCGGGTGCTGTTGAAGATGACAGATGCCAAGAAGTTGGCTGTGATATTGGATGCACCGGAGCTTGCGCTGGAAGCCGAACGAGCTATTATTCAGGTCAGGGAGCAGCTTGAGGCACCAAAGAAAGCTAAACAACAGGAGAAAGATGAGAAGAAGGATTGATAACGAGGATTTAATTACTATGTACTAGGGAAAGGAGATATCGAGCTCTCCTACTCATCACGGATATCATGTACGATAATGAAAGAAGAACATCAGATTCATAGATATAACCATATAGACGATAATCATTAAATACACTTCAATATGAATACAAAGAAGAATAATTACATTGTGAGTCCAATGACCTCAGAGCCCCTGACGGAAGTAGGTAAATCCGAGTCTCTCCCCCATTGTTCCCACCTCATCCACCACCCCATTCATCGGAGCTCCATACATCATGTCTACGAAAAAGATTGAGCAATGGGAGATTGAGCGGTATTGGGAGATTTTTGCCTCATTATCAAATGGCCAAAAACACCTCAATAGCTCCCAAGCCGCCTCCGTGCTGAGGAACAGCCGCCTAAGTGATGCCCAGCTCGAGAAGGTCTGGGACATTGCCGATGTCGACGGAGACGGAGAGCTAGACTTTGAAGAGTTTTGTGTTGCGATGCGCCTAGTTTTCGACTTGGTCAACGGCGTAAGTGACCCCGCCCTCTCAAATCATCACTAAATCGCTCTAACACGGCGTCTTATCACACAGGAACTACAAGATGTCCCGCATGTCTTACCAGATTGGCTAGTCCCAGAGTCCAAGTCACATCTCGTCCATGCGACCCGCGCACTCAGCAGCGGACACGAACAGTTCGAGCGGATAGAAGACGAAGATGACTCGCTCGGTCTGAAGGACGGCTTTGATTGGTATATGAAGCCCGACGACAAGAACAAGTACACTGAGATCTACGACGCCAACCGGAACGCCCGCGGCCAAATAGAATGTGAGTAACTAGCGCATCATTCCCAGAAAAATACCCCGCTGACCACCCCAGTCCAACAATTACAACCACTCTACGAATCGCTCGATGTCCCCGACACCGATATCCGCTCCGCCTGGAACTTGGTTAACCCTTCTGCATCACCCGCAATCAACAAAGATGCAACACTCGCCTTCCTGCACATCCTGAACTTCCGCCACGAGGGTTTCCGCATCCCACGCACCATCCCCGCATCGCTGCGCGCCTCATTTGAGACCAACCAGATCGACTACCAAGTCGACAAGGCGCGACCTGCACAGCGCTACGGCGTAGACGGCGACATGGAAACACGGACAGGTCGCAAGGCCAAGTTCGGCGATACCTACCTTGGTCGTCTTGGTGTTGGTGGCAAGGGCTCGTATCAGCCTAAGGGAACGGATTTCAGCGACACGATCCAGGACGAGGAGTGGGAGAAGGTGCGGCTTCGCCGTGAACTGGCAGAGTTGGAGAAGAAACTAGAATCAGCCAATAAAGCATCGGCTTCTAGGCGGGATGGCCCGCGTCATGATGGCCGGCCCAACTGGGTTCTAATTAAGAAGGAGGCGCTTTCCCTCTTGGAGTATAAGGAGCGAGAGTTGCGGGAGCTGCGTGAGGGTACTGGCCGTGCTAAGGATGGTCAGGAATTGGAGCGACTCCGGGAGGATGTCAAGGCTGTTGGGGAACAAGTGGACGGGTTGAAGAGCCATATGGCCCAACGGCATGATGTCCTGTCGGATCTCCGCAGGCAAATTGAGGATGAGAAAGCTCGGCGGTGATTAGTGTGTGCATATAGACCAACGGACTCGTTGGCCTAATACTCTTGTTCTTTTGCTTTCTACGGCCCCTTTAGCTGCACATATGCCCTGTTGATTCTTGCGAACTATCTTGTACAGCCATTTCATGTTAGGGAGCTTCAGGCGTCAAATGGATATTCTTTGCGTTTTCATTTCTAGGGGATATTGAAATAATTTAGCACATGTTGGGGGATCTATCTACCTAACTTGTAGCATTACAGAAACAAGTTATATATATATATATATATCACCCTCTGGTAGTTCACCTTGGATGTTAACACCAATCTGGCCTACTATGTATACTCCGTATTCGTATATATATTTTACTACTTAAATAGGTAAATCATTTGAGTTGTATTTAATCAATCTACCTTTCTATGCGCCAATGGAATGATAGAGCCGATTCACGGTGTTTGAATATATAATGGAGCTGCCGGTCTCAGTTCAAACTTTGTACCTGGCCCCCTATACTTCCAGACCCATTTATGATATGATGCCTCTCGGTCCTTATTGACCCGGATCATCCGCAACGGTAGTAAAAGTCATGTACCTTTTGTATTGGTGTGCAATACAAAAGATACCCATTGTTTAGAGTTTGTGCCAGGGGAACCTTAGAAAGCTGATGAAACGAAAGGGGTACAAAATAGATAACTCCCCGATTATTTCTAGCCGGCATGTTATCTCCATAGATTCTCCATAGTTTCTCCATAGCTTCTAGCCCCCAATCCATTCAGTTTCTCATAGATTAACCACCTATAATATCAAAGCTTACCAAAAAAAGGGTTCAGAAGACTACAGAATAAGACAAAGTCAGAATCTTGAATTAAGAAATGCGGGGACGATTTGAGGAATGATGACGATCAGGTCTTAACTACAATATTAATTTATCAGGTACTTTTGGTTGGTGGATCTTTGTAAATGCGTCGACAGTTTCAAGCTTATAGCCATAGCCACAATACGAGTGCATAAAAATCTTGGCCTTTGGCATATTGACTAAGAGTATACCTTTGTATTGGCTAAATATACGCCAAGCCGGAGAATCATCTGTTAGAAAATGTCTTATATTTCGAGGAAAACGTGTAGATAGAATTCACTCCAAGCCAAATTGGGACTAAATCCCAGTCTAACTAGTGGGGATTCGTGGGGTAATGCAATTGAATTCATCCAGTTAGACACCGTTCAATTTATTCACGGACATTGTGGACCCCGGAGCTGTATAGGTCAGTGAAACAGTACGGAGTAGCTCCTCTCTTGTTAGGATATCCAAAGGTATAAAAGACCTCTCGGTAGCCCTCGATTTGATCAACCATCAGCAAAGACATCCGAGCAAAATGCACTCCAGCGCTATCATCCTCGGCCTCATTGGCCTTGCCAGTGCCCAGACTCTCAACATCCCCTCTCGCGTGGGTAACATTGTCTCTTTGCCCTCTCCCAGTGTGATCACTGGCAGCGTCGATCTGGGAAACCGGGAGTTCGATCGTGGCCGTGCCTGCGACAATGATGATGATACTGGTATGTCCGCCTAAAAACGAGTCCAAATGAATCAAGCTAATTGAATAGGCGATGACAACGCCGTGTTCATCTTGCAGGATGGAGCATCCCTGAGCAACGTGATCATCGGAAAGAACCAGCTTGAAGGTATCCACTGCAAGGGATCCTGCACCCTGACCAACGTCTGGTTCCGCGATGTCTGCGAGGTGAGTTTCACCCATATCTATCCAATCAGCTAATACTAACGAGCCCTCGATAGGACGCTATCTCCATCCTTGGAACCGGAGATGCACTCATCAAGGGTGGTGGTGCTCAAGAGGCCAAGGACAAGGTCGTGCAGCACAACGGCCGCGGAACCGTCACCATTGATGGATTCACCGTTGTCAACGCAGGCAAGCTCTACCGCTCATGCGGCAACTGCAGCAAGAACGAGAGCAAGAGCCCACGTAAGGTTGTTGTCAAGAACGTCAAGGCCAAGAACGTGTCTACCTTGGTTGGAATCAACTCCAACTACGGCGATACTTCAAGCGTGACCAGCAGCTGTGGATCCGTCAAGCACGTGTGCCAGGAGTTTGAGGGAGTGGACAAGTCCGAGGGAAGAGAGAGCCCCAAGCTGGACTCCACCGCTTCTTGCAAGGGACAGTCTTCTCTTTCTTCTTGCTAAATTCGAATCGATCTTTTCGAGGGAAGAAGATATGAAAGAGGCTTGTATGCTGATTACTGCCTATTGAGGAGGAAAGAAGGATCATGAGGGCAACTACATAGTCAAGGCTTAGGCCATCTCCCTCACAGAACACCGAATTCCCTCAGACCATCAATGTTACGGAGTAAACTCTCGTAAATAGCAATGTTGTATGCCAAGCCTCAAACTCGGCATTTGAACCTATTCTGTTATAGCTCATAGAACAAACTTCGACAGCCGAATCCGACATAGTGTGCTTCGAGGTCCTAAGTATAGCGTTGTAAGATCTGCCTAGGACCTCCCGAGGTCCCGAGACCCGGGTCTTGTAGGTCGATTAGCTAATGTTAGGGTCAGCCCTGGAGGTGGGCATTAAATGGATGTTTGCGTTTTATTTCTGATTCTTGCAAGGAACACCGAAATAATCTAACATATGATACAATAAAGAGCGTGTACCGTGGTCATCTAACTGACCTGTAGCAATTGATACACGAGAAAGTCATCCATCCCACCATGTAAGCGAACGCCAATCAAACCAGCCAGCCCACCATAGCTATTGTTACAGTCCAGTACCCACTGGACATCATCCAGCGTGTAGCTTGGATGGAAAAGAGACACCATACAGTCATTGAACACCTCAAGAGAGAATGCTCTCACCAGGATCGCGCTTCGTTTCAACCGCAACAAATGCATCCCCCTTCTGGTCGAGTCCCTTCTCCGCACGGAGATAAGCCTCTTCCGAGCGATCAGTCAAGATCTCAAGATCTTCATTCGACAAGATCGACCCAGGGTCAACGCCAACCTCAAACCGTTCGAACTCGTTCTCGCCAAGCGCCTTGCGCAGTTCCTCGATATCATGGGAATTCGCACTGGAATCAAGCAAGGAGCGGAATTTGCCTTTCTGAATCACCAGACGTTCGAGGCGGCGCTTGGAATCCGCTTTCTCGAGGAGTGTCTGCTCAACGGTACCCTTCGTAGCCAATCTGTAGATAATCACTGGCTTGGTCTGGCCAATGCGGTGAGCTCGGTCCTGGGCTTGCAGATCTTGCTGCGGATTCCAGTCCGAGTCAAAGATAATCACAGTATCCGCGGCGGTGAGATTGATTCCCTGACCACCAGCTCGGGTGCTGAGGAGGAAAATCTTGTGACTCTTCTTGGTATTAAAATCTTTGATCTGAGCCCGGCGATCGGACTGTGCAATAGCACCGTCGATTCGACAACACTCCCAGGAGCGAAGTGTTGTTGCCCACTCTTCGATGATATCAAGCTGTGTCTTGAACTGAGAGAAAATGAGAATCTTATGGCCTTTCTCAAGCAAACACGAGACCAAACGGTCCAACAAAAGCATCTTTCCAGAAGCAGAGACGAGTGTTTCGTCTACAGAAGAGGATTCGTCCATCCATGGCCAATAGAAGTTGTGCGGAGAGTTACAGGCGAGGCGAGCTTGCAGAACCGGGTTTTGCATCTTCTTTTGCCCAATCTCTTTCTCTGCAAGCAATATTAGTAAAGGGACTGGGAAATGTGATATGAAGGTAACGTACTAGCAAGTTTCAAATTCTGAGCCTTCTGCATCTCTTCCAGTTCATTATCGCTGGGCTCGCTCTCCTGTTCCTCTTCTTCAATTCCCAGCTCGAGTTTGCGGAGGTGCTCATCAAACTCTTCATCGCTTAGATCATTGTAACCCTGACGAGTGCTGCGTCGGCGTCGGCGGCTAGAATTCTTTCCATTACTCGCTGGCGTGGACGCCCCACTGGATCTTGCGCTTTTGACAGGCGATGCATCGCCACTGCCATTCCGTTTGCGCTTCATACTTTGCGAGCGTATAGAGCTGCCGTTCTTAGCTTCCAGACGCTCCAGAGCCTTTCCCTCGAGGTACTGACGTCCTGTACCATTGATGATCTCTCGATAGAGATCTTTCTGTTCAGAGGTCAAAGGAGCATAGAGAATGTACTCCCGCTTCTTGGGAAGGGTGGTCTCCACATCTGTCTTGAGACGCCGCAGAAGGAAGGGCTTGAGAATGGCGTGCATGCTGGTGACAAGGTTACGCTTGCGTTTCTCAACCAGCTCTGCCTGGCCCCTATTGTCTAGCACGGAGGAAAAATCAAACCAGCTTTCAAACGAGTTGAGATCGTTGAAAACTTCAGGAAGCAGGAAATGTAGAAGTGACCACAACTCTGAGATGTTGTTCTGGAGAGGTGTTCCAGTGATCAACAGACGATTGGCCGAGTTATAGGTCAAAAGCTCTTTGATGAGCTTGCAATTCATATTTTTCAGCCGATGGCCCTCATCCTGTAGATCGATTAGCGCCTTAGAAATGAAAAATAGACCGAAGGCAAACGTACAACGACGATATAACGCCATTGATATTGAGCCAAGAACTTCCGATCGTTCATGCAAATCTCGTAAGAAGTGCATACCACCGGGAAGTCCATGTCTCCCTGGTTTTTCATTTTCATAAATTTGTTGCGCATGGCAGCGCGCTCATCTTTCGAGCCGTGGTACAAAACCGTTTTAATCCCCGGTGTCCATCGGGCGAACTCGTCCACCCAATTGCTCACGGTACTCAGCGGTGCTGAGATCAAGAATGGCCCTGAAACGTTCATCTCCTTCAAGAAAGCAATCATTGAGATTGCTTGAACTGTCTTACCGAGGCCCATCTCATCGGCAAGAATACCACAAAGCCCATTCATCCATAAAGTCTTGAGCCATTCGAGTCCCTCCAGCTGGTATGTTCTCATTTTGCCACCTGTCACGAGTTTTGGCTGCTGTGTCGCGACCAATTCCTGCTCACCAAGAGCCGTGGGATTCGCTTCGTAGTCATCTGCAGCTTTTTCAAGAGCCTGTTGTACCGAGGGATTATCTTTGGTCACTTCCACGTCGGCCTTTTTAAAATAACTAGAAATTGAGTTGCTATTGGCGGCCGCTGCTCGCTTAGGTCGACCCCGGGTGGGTGCTGGTGCCTTTTCGTTGGCTTCTTGTCCACCGGCTGATTTATTTTCTTTCTCCTCCGTCGCATCTTGGTTTTGTCGAGTTCGAGTAGTTCGGCGAGTAGCTTCAGGAGGAGACTTGGTCTTCTTTTGACTCAGGACAGCTTGTTCGCGCTGCTTGATCGCCGCCAAACGTGCGTCCTCTTGCTGCTTTTTCATTTTATCTGACATAATAGCCACGAAGACCTGCACGTACGAGATGATATCAGACTACTGTAATGAGATAAGACGGGGATGGACTTGACACTTACGGAGCTCGTTTTCAACAAGTGCATCAAGGCCTTGGCCTTACTGTCCATCCCCTCGACATCTTCAGAATCAGTCAATTCTGCTTTCGAGTTGTCCTCTTTATTATCCGAAGACTTTGAGTCTTCAACCTCAGTCGGGTCTGTGAGTGGCGACGAAGGAATGACCGACTCGGGCGCCATAGTCCCTGCATGGGAATCCGTGGGAGTCGCTGTATCCTCAGCAGACATTTTTCTTGATAGGATTGAATAATAAGGAAAAGAGAGTGAATGGTCCAAAGCGAGCACTAGATGGATGGAGATAGTACGTCATTCACAGGGGTGAAGAAGTTTTCCTAACGTCAAGTTTCGCTGTCGGCGAGGGGTAAACGAATGTAATGGCAGAGACCGGACGTATAAAATTTTCCAACAAATCTACCCTCGTATTTCAGACAGACGTTGGCCCTGCGCACGAGTGTTGGTTTGTGATGTATCTTTAATCAAAGTGAGATCGCGTCCTTGACGCGGCATTTTCGCGTTCGATGCACGGACCAATTTTAGATTAGACAGCCCCTGGAACTACTTGAACTTGAACATCATTGAAAACTTGTCATATTTGAGTATAATCGTACAAATAGATCATTCGTGAAGTTTGCTATGAAGAAGATTGTCTCATATCCTTGAATCCTTCATGTTTCCTCAATATTGCTTGTTTGTATCCCACTACTGCGGAGAGGAACAGCCATCCATCGGCACCAGCACCACATCATCCATGGAGACCTCAGTGATGGAGCTGATATCAGTGGAGCTTTGCTGCTCATCGGGCTGCTCATCCTCGTGTTGCTCGGGCTCGCTTTCTTCGGGCATCATAGTAGGCTCATAGCAGATAAATTCTTCCATGAGGCGGTCAATGTCCCCCAGTGTCATTCCAAGGAACTCCTCGGGGAAGAAGTCCGAAGACATGGTTTGTCCAGCTGGCTGGGTTTGTTCGACTGGCTGGGTCAGGGGAAGCTGTTGACGGTTACTGTGGCTGCGAGTGATTCCAACACCGGCGCCGTAGACCTGGAGTTCTGGCTGGTCGTTGTACCGACGGCGCTGAGCCTCTGCTTCAGCCTCTACCTTTTCAAGGCGGGCCTCTTGTATTCTTCTTTGATACCTGATGTGACTCGCGGAGTGACTGGGACCTACCGAAGGCCAGTACTCGGCGAGGACTCTGCTGAAAGGTCTGGCAGGTTTCTGGGAAATGGACTGGGCATCACTCGCATTCCGTGGTTTCTTAGATGGTGTTTCTTGTGGCGATTCTGGTGGAGATGACTCTGTTATGCTGTTGACTTGTTTTAGAGGGGTTAATCCTTGAGGTCTGACACCGGTTTTCTCGTACTGTTCGATCTTCGCTGCTTTCTGTGAACCGACATTCACTTTGATCATTCCACCGAGTCGGGGCTTTGTAACGTCCCACGACAAGTCCGGTTTCCGTTCATAATACTTGTCCCAGTTAATGATGGGATCCGGGTCAGTGCTGCGTCGAACTAAATCGTTTGGATTCATTGTGCCGTGCAGACCAATGTTTTGAATGAATTCACTCTTGGCGTCACTGACTGGGTCCGAAATGGGATTGGTTGCGGTCCCCATCTCATCAGCAGGCGGAGTGAATCTCAGGTCGTCTTTCCATTCAAACTTGTCGGGTTCTTGTGAGTTTCCCTCAGATTCTCGCATCACCACCAGGCTGTCTCCCCATTCGCCAGCATATCTTCGAGGTAGTCCGTGCTGGTGCAGGTACTGTCTAGCTTTCAGGACATCGTGTGCTTGACACATCAAGAGGTCCGTGTACTTGGTGAGCACCAGCTTCCGATTCGTCTCTCGGGTGATCCTTTTCAGTACCAGTTGAGGTGGCGGCTGGAAGAGCTTCAAGTCGCTGTTATCGATTCTCGTGAGTGCTTTGCGCTGTTTACGCCGCATTTCTTCAAGTCTTTTGTTCTCCCGTTCGATATGTTTGTTGCGAATGCTTATCAGAAATTGGAGCTGCAGTCGCTCTTGTGGCCCGAGGCCAAGGAGCTCGCAAACTCGTCTCCAACTGTGGTATCTCATTGTGTTTTCGATAATCTCAACTCGCATGGCTGGGTGCAGATCCTCCCATTTGGGGTTAGGCATCTTAAGCGACGACTCACATCAGACTTGTTCAATTCTACTGACATAGCTGGAGTCATAATATACTTACCGCATCAAGGAGCACCTGAGTCGCATCTGGAAGTGACTCGTCGTCACTATTCTGAGAGGTAGCCATACCCTCGGAACTCGGAGCGGCACCCGTACGAGTCTTGCGCGCCATTTTGACGTTCCGCGCATAGACCGGATTGTCCATGTTGTTACTAGCGAGGTGGTTTTCGAGCTGGTCCATAGGAATTCCTTCAATCTCAGGCTTGGACGATGAAATGGTTGACGACGACAACGACGACGACGACAACTCATTGCGGGAATCGAATGCGAAATCTTTAATTTGTATGTTCTGTTGGCTGTTTTCGACGCCAGCATTCTGCGCGGAGGTGGTGGAGTCACGACCTGGATGTGGTCTGCTCAAACTGGGAAATGCAGCTGGTGGCAGATTAGGGTTGAATGGCACAGTGTTTGGCCTGTACCGCTTCTGTGGGCGTGGCCTTCCTGATTCCCCAAGCTCCACGGAGTCATCAAAGAAGCCATCTTGTCCATGGCGCCGCGAGATTCGCGATGGTGTCTCGTCGTCGTCATCGCCGTATCGCACTGGCGCGCGGATGCTGTCACGCAGTTTCATACTGCTCATTTTGGCGGCGCGTCGAGGTGGAGCGTGAGGTGTGGGACGAGGGGTGATGCGATTACTGATTGATGTGGGTGTATCGATGGTAGCTACGTGTAAAGGTCAATGGGAAGCATGCGCTTCATCAAAAAGGGGAGATGGGGGATGATGGGGGGGTGGTCGCGAGATAGAATGGTTGTCGCGCAAACTGAAAGGAGAGAAGAGATGGGAAGAGGGGAATGGGTTTGAAATTGCGCAAAGTCAGCGCAAGACTCGAGCTCTCAGATTTAAAAGGAAAACAAAAGGCAGGGGCAAATTGAGTCGAAGGTCGAGAAGGTGGGCAAACGTTGGTTTAAATGGTTTGCAGGCATCGACCAACTTATGCGCGTCTCGAGACTTGCCAGATCCTGATATTGACCCCATAGTTGATTTCCTACGCAAGATGCAAACACACACTATCTTCGAACCTTCCCATGTTTATGATCTTACGGATATAAAGATATAAGGGTCTAATCACTGGTAGAAGGCTTGGATATCTGGAAGATAGCATCAATGAGCAACTGTAGCTGGGTATTTGCATCCAAGAACCATAAAGCATTAAAGCAGACAGATAAAGCAAACATAAAAGAAGAGCAGACGACCACCATATTCTACACGTTGTAAAGATTCCCTCCGTTTTATTTCCTTGTCAACCAACATATTCATCTCTCCCCCCATCCCCATAGCCATTCACAATTCAATCAAAGATACTCGCAACACACCAATTCCGTTTCCTCTAGACCACACGGCCTTGGAAGGGAGCATTAGGCTTTCGCTCATAGAAAGGGTCATCATCTCCATCCATATCCATTTCACCATCCCCGATGGCAAGATCATCATCTCTATGATCTTGAAAACTTCGCTTCTTCGTAAGAATTGGTGGTACCGATGGAGGCGCAAGAGTCGAGGCCCCACGAACAACAGTCACATTCTGTTTAGCACGCTCAACATCACGCTTGGCAGAAAGAATGGAATCAAAAGCGACGAGGACGCATTTCATATTGTCCTCTATTGAGGCACAGAAGCGACGTTGCTGAACCATGTGTGTAGCCTCAGCAGACTGAACATTAAGCATGACCATGATATAGGCAATGACGACTCCAGCGGAGCGTTCATTCCCAGATTCGCAGAAGACGAGAACCTTCCGTTTCTGCTGTTGACCGTCTATCATCATTCCATCATTTTGTATATCCAGACCAGCAAGGTGATCATTGATGCGGCGGATAGCACGTGGGAATGCAGAACTGAGTTCTTGAATATCAAGGACATCAATCGAGTCTGCCATAATACCAACCTCCGCCGCAGCCTTATCGCCAGACACGAGGCGAGCCTGGGCCGAGTGCCGACTGCGAATAGCGAGAAGTAGAGTGAAACCTTGGCTACGGATGTAATCGCTATCACGTAGACATGACGAAGGGCCAAGAGATAAGAATGGGAAGACGGACTGGGCTTGGCGACGCATATCGTAGTTCCATTGGGAAGGGCTGAAACGGCGTGTGAACCCGCCCAGATCGACATGATCGAAAAATCCTGGGCAAACAAAGTCTCCCTCTGCAAATTGATGGGAGTGACGGTCGAAGACCTTCCTGTCGACGATTACAGTGTCATCGTTGCCGGTACCTGCCAACCCAAAATAGGTTGTCATAAGAGATCCATCTATCAGCGCGGGGGTTGGATATCGTGGTGTAGCCGTGTAATCTTGGGTGCGAACATAATGAGACTGCTCGTCGTGAGACATGGGCACTTCTCTCTGTGAATTGCCGTTGAACATTGTGTCTTGCAAGCTATGGCCTGTCTGGTGGCTCTGGTATACCAAGTATTGAATATTGATGGGCTGACTTGTTGGCGAGATCAAATCATTAAATATGTCATGAATCCAAGCAGAGTGGATGCATGAATTCAATTATCAAGGTCACTGAAAGTGCGAGACCAAGTTCCATATAGTGGAGATGTAGGAAATGTGTCAAGTTGAATCACCATATAATTCTTCTCTGGAAGACCATTTGAAGTATAATAACAATATTCCAACAGTCAATGGGTTCAAAGACCTGAATTATTCAAGGTTGAAACATCCAACTTGTATGAGGGGAGGCTGCACGCGGCTCATCGGGGATTAGGTAAGACGTTCCAAGATTCCACCTGGGCAAGGTTCCACCCGCAACGGGTGTTCCTGAACTTCTTTGATCTCTTGGCTTTTCAATTTTGATACTTCCTTTGTATAAATTCATAAAACATGAACAGAAAACCATTATTGAATGGTTTTGTATCTGGTCATCATTGGATAAAGACATGACAACGCTCGCCAATGATCTTTCCGCCAATTTGCATTATACAAAACGCTACGAATTTGACAGCTAGAATATCGTTCTATTGAATAGGGTAATTCATATTTTATCTTGACTCCTATAAAGGTCATCCTGGTCACGCTTCAAGCTGTCGATGTCTATACCAGCCCTAGAAACCTTCTGGACTTAAGACAACGTCGTTGGCGGAACTGAGTTAACCCGTGTTACATTGGGTTGATTGTGCACAAGCTATTCTTTGGACGCGTTTGGAGCATTAAGTGTAGAAATATAGTACTTAGATGTTGCGCTACAATATGTATAGGCCAAAAAATAACGGGGTCATCTCTAATGTCTTTCCTAGATATATATAGCCAACGCATCCATACCCGCTCACGCTTGAAAAATGTGGTCACCTTTGCGCCTACTTCACTCATTAGAAATCACTTATAACAGGATAGTGGCCTTGTGTTAGTATAAACAGAAGCCTGACCAAGGCCAAACTGTCAGGAAAAACAAGCTAATCCGTAACCGAGCTCCGAGTTCCGAGTACCCCTCCGCGTTAATATAAGCAGAGAAGACTTTCAAAGACTTTCTCACTCAATTAGATACTCAACGGTCAAAACAAGTCAATCATGGAAGAAAAGCTTCTGCCGGGGGCTGTTACCAGCAAGCAGGAGAGGCCATATCCACGCCTTAAGAAATGGACCCTCTCATCAATATCGACACTCATCGCATTACTCGTTCTCAGCAATCGCTACAACCTATATCCCATATCATATCCCAATTGCAGCCCAAAGCCCTTCAAATACACCGGCGAGCATATAACATGGGAACCATGCGGCGACCTACACGACCGACCACTCGAATGTAGCAGCATCGAAGTTCCCATAGACCAATTTGCAGAGAAATCAAACACAACCAGTTCCAGTGGTTTCACAATCCCACTCATCCGCCTACGCAGCGAAAACGCAACACAAAACCTCCTCCTAAACCCCGGCGGCCCAGGAGCCAGCGGCTTCGAATTCCTATACCGCCGGGGTGACCAGCTCAGGACCATCCTAGGCTCAGGTTTCCACTTGCTAACATTCGATCCACGCGGCATAAACAGCTCAACACCGACAGCATCCTGCTACCCAGACGCCAAGACACGACAAGAACAGTCACATGTTCGAGCGCGCGATGCCGCATCCGATAGCCCCGAGATCTATGCATGGGCGCGTAACTTTGCCAAAGCATGTCCGGAGACGATGGGCGAGTACGCGCCGTACATCAACTCCCCTCAGACTGCAGCGGATATGAATAGTATCCTCGATGCGGTGGGACAGGAAGATATGATATATTGGGGATTCAGTTACGGGACTCTTCTGGGACAGACCTATGCGGGATTATTCCCGGAACGCTCGAAACGGGTGATTATCGATGGAGTCGTGGACCAATTCGCGTGGTACGAGGGCGTTGGCGAATCCGATGAATTCATCGACACGGATAAAGTGTTGGACGGGTTCTTCGACGAATGCATAAAAGCAGATGCTAGATGTGCGCTTGGGTCGCTGGCAACGTCGAAAGAAGAGCTGCGCGAAGTAGTCTTCTCATTCATGGATACGCTGCGTAATAACCCGCTCGACGTATACATCAACAACACCGTCTATGGAATCTTAACCTGCGAGAAAGTCTGGTACAACGGTGTTTTTGCGGCATTATACAGGCCTCCACTATGGTCGACTCTTGCGGAGAATCTTTACAATTTGATCCGAGGAAATGCAACACCCGCCTTCCTGGCTTATAACACTGACCATGGACTGGATGATGAGTCTAATGAATTCGTCACGCTGAACGATGGCCGAACTGGACCGGCGCACTGGCCGCAGGGACAAGACGAACTACTAGCACAAATCACACCATGGTTGAACCAGAGTCTGTTCAGCGCTTCGTTTCTCACATCATACTACCAGAAACAGCAGTGGACGGTACCTAGGACACATCCGTATGTTCCGAGGCGAGACGTGGAGACCGCACATCCGCTGTTGATCCTATCGACTACCTACGACCCTGTGTGTCCGCTTGTCTCGGCGCGCGTGGCTAATGAGGCTTTTGCTGGATCTCGGATTGTGGAGGTTGAGGGGTATGGGCATTGTTCTGTGGCTGTGGCTTCAGTTTGTGCTGCGAAGCATGTGCGGGCATTCTTGTATGAAGGGAAGCTTCCTGATGGATACACGCGGTGTAAGGTTGATTCTGCTTATTTTGGTAAGCCCGATGAGAATGGGCGAGTGGCTGCGAAGGCAGACTTTGAGGACCGGGAGGATCAGAAGATCCATCTTGCGCAATTGGAACTCATGGCGGGATGGGAGTTTGCGAAGCCGGTCTTTTATTGATTTTGCGTTTGGGGATGACCTTTGTCTTGAGTCATAAAAGGATGATGATATAACAGGAGTGCTCAGAATGGAGTAAGTCTATGTAAAAGCTTGGTCTGCGGTTATTCACTATTTCTTCTTAAAAGGCATAGACCCTAGAACCTTAAGAAACCTACGAAATCAACACGTATCTTACAAGGACTAATACGCAATTTTGGAGAGTGGCTTCATTATCCGCTATTTGTGTAATCGGACAGACAAATTCTTGACAAAGGCCACACCACCTGAGTAGTGTAGACACATAAGCCACATAGTAGATACACAGACCGCCATGTCCCAGATATGAAAAAGGGGGACCCAATGGATATTCCATTGGGGACGAAGGGTATTCCAGGCCAATAGCCTTGAGTAAAATCAAAACAAAAAGGTAAGGAAAAGGCCCACAGAAGAGCAATGACCGTAGAGAGAGTCAATAAATCCGTGCGTCACTCACACAGGAACATAAGGATTGACAAGAAAAAGGGGAGATCATACCCAAGACAGAAACGCCTCGAGATTAAAGAAATTCGTAATGAGCGTCTTGGTGGGACGCAGAAATAGAACCGATGGGAAAAAGAATCCACAGGAAAGCTGAACGGAACACAAATATGTACAAATCGGGTGAAGACGCCCACGCTGTTAAAGGGGAAAAAGCAGGGGGAGTAATGTGATGTCTCAAAATAATTGCCAGGATGTCGCTATGCCGAGGTTGCGCCGTAAATTGAAGTAAAAAATATCAAACCCAAAGCCTACGACTGCGGTCGTTCATTTGCTGGTGCCGTCTCATTGGATGGCTTTTCTTTGTCCTTAGGTCTCCAGAAGTGCATCATTCGGCTGAGACGGCGGCTCTTCTTCTTCGTTTTGTCCGATGCGTTGCTAGGGGGCTTCTCCTCCTGATTGAGCTTGCTCCGCTCAGAATGGGGACCACCGACCAGTTTGGAAAGGCTGGCTAGACTGGAGCGTTTGGAGGCGTTAGCCTGGCTGGTACGTCGGGTACCAGCAGCAGAGAAAGAAGCTGCGCGGTCGGTAGAAAGACGTCCACGGGGAAAGAAGGAAACCGCGGAGAAACGATTCAGAGTGTTGGTCATGGTCGATGCACTGCTGGTTAAAGATGGGACATCTTCAACTGATGCATAAGGATATTCCGCCGATGGCAGATGATGGTACGAGTGACTGGAAAAGTTCCGGTCAGTCATAGAGGACTCTGCAATTGACCGCGGAGCATCGGGAGACGGGAAAGACGAATCAGAAGGCGAAACCCCTGGTTGCAACGCAAATGGTGGAATAGTAGGCAACAGCTCAATGGGTGAGGTTGCTGGCCGTTTGTCGATAGCCATGAATCGAGGAGAAACGTCGGGGCTGGGAGGCCCAATCGTTTGATGCGTAGATTCTTCCGTCTTCAGAATTTCGACGGGGGTTCGAGGCTTGCTGCCGAAAGGATTGCTAGCAGTATGTACCTGCTCAAGTGCACTCTTTCCCACCGGCTGTTCTTGATTAACCTGTTTATCGCCTTGCTGAATGCCTAAGCCAGCATTCTGAGAGGAAATGCTACCCGCGGGGGCACGAGTCAGAGTATCACTACTGCCGGTGGTATCGTTGCTGTGGACAGATTTCACATCATCCTCGGACGACGAAAACACTGCGTTGTCGATCGATTGTACGTTCACGGGAATGCGCTCGCCCTTGGGTGACTGGGAAGCAGCCAGGAAAGCATCCTCTTCCTCTTCGTCAAACACATCGGGCGTTTCGACTGCCGAGGTCGGACCCAAACGGAAGGCACCGAGAGCAGAGCGGTCGAATGGTTGCATCGCTGGGGCGCTTTCTGTGCGCCGATGATAGCGCATCTCTGGGCCAACAAATTCACCCCGTCTTCCACCGCTGTACATCCGTTGAGTTGCAACCGAAAAGTTGTTGCTGGGCGCACCCTGCGTCACTGGTCGCATATCGGGAGTGTTGAAAGGACCAAGGGCAGCATCAAGGTCAATGATAGGGCTACTTAGTACATTATCGTGCGGGCCAACACCCTGCTCATAGAAACTTCTCGGTTTCCACGAGGTCTCTAGTGATTGTGCAGACAACAAGCCACTTTCGGTCTGACGATTATCTTGAACAGGCTCAAGGGCAGAAGGAGGCATCGAAGGATTGGTCGGAGTCCGGATGACAACGACATCGTCATTATCAAAATCAACATCCAAAACCGATCCGGTCCCTGAGTTGGTCCGAGTAAGAGCAGGTGGGCGATGCGCAGGGGCGCGAGGTACAGGCGGCTCCTCCTGTGTGTCAGACTTCGCATGGCGCTTACCCTTACCCTTGCTCTTGGTTCGAGTTAGAATGTGACCGGCCCAAGAGCGAACACGCTTCTGCTTCTTCTTTTTGGACTTGATATGTGATTTATTGTCAGACGAATGCTCCACCGCTTCATCGCCAGATGTATCGGAACCATCGTCTGAAAATGAAGGTCGGTAGTTGTCCGTCGACTGAGCATCATCAGGCAAGAGAGTAGAATCGAGATGCGGCGTCGATTTGCTTTTTCGGGAGCGAGAGTGCCCAGCGGCGGAGTGCGAACGTTTGATAGAGGATCCGGAGTCGTCATCTGTCTGCATGAAATCCATCACCAAAGAGGCATCGGCAGTCTTCGGCCGAGGTTTTGGGCTGTAGTGAGGTCTTGGCTTTACCCGATCCGAGAAAGTCGGCTTCTCCATTTGTTGCTGCGCCTTAATTGTGGTCGTACTATCCGAGGTGCCATGCGACACAACAGAGACTGGTCGCTCGACATTTGAGGTTTGGTTGAAGGACATTTCCGCTTGAATGGCGGCGGGAATGGGAGGCACGGGGGGTAATAGCGGAGATGCAGGGGGCGTAGGGCGTCCGAGGCTAGCAGCCGATTGAGAGAGTGGTCGCGAAGGAATATCAGATGCAGACTTGCGGTACGGGTCGGCAGGTGTAGTAGGCGCACTTCCAACCATAGAACTAGGGCCAAGTGCCTTAGTGATGACATTCAAATCGACACCCGAGATCGCAGCAGAACGCCGATGAGCATGATTTCGTCGTCCAGGAACCCTACCAACACCAGGCCCTGGAGGGGGAATAGGTTGATCTGCCATGGAAGCCGCCCGTCTGTGACCGGGTCCCAGTGTTTCCGGTGTTACCAAATGGTCGGTTCCGACAAACTCACTTGGTCGCCGACGGTGTCCGCCCGTGCGAGGATTCGACAAGGACGGTGCTGAGAGGTGTGGTGACTGCTGTTCTGATCCGGGATTGAAAGAGAATGAGGGTAACGCAGGCCGTCCCCGGCGTTCAGGGGTTTCCGATTGGGTGTTGGGGGTATCAGGGTCCCGTGCAGGAAAGACAAATGGTGGATTAGGCAATGGTGCGTGCATGTGCTGGCGGCGATCGTGGCTGGCGGAGAGGTTCGAGTTGTCGAAATGTGGCGGGAAGCCCGCCTGGGACTGCGGAGGAAGTGAAAGCGAAGCCATGACGGCTAATAGAAAATAACAGAAAGGATAAATGAATTTAGTGGAGTGACAAAAGCCCCGAAAAGGTCCAGGGCAAAGACCTCCAGACCGACTTCCCTTCAGCAAGAAAGCCTAGGAATCTGGAGGTCAAGATTAAGCACGGGTGGGGGTCATTGAATCTTCCGCGCCAGGCAGAAAGTGAAATCAAAAGTATCCAAGAGGTATGGAAAATGAATGGACGGCCACGACGAAGGCCAAAGAGGGTGAAGGTGGAAAAGTTGGTCGTAGAGAGAAAGAGAGAGAGAGAGGTAAAGAGAACAACAAATCCAGGAGGGGAAGAAGGGGGAGCTGAAATTACCATACACGGTATCACCCGTTGTCATCCGGACAAACCAATTACTTACATACAATTTTAACAAAATTATATGTTGTATATAGGAGTTACCTATTTCTATCTTAGGAATCCCTTTCTTTCCCCTGAAGGATTTGATATAATACTACAGATACAGACAGATTAAATGACACCTGTCAATTTGGAATGTGAACTTCACAAGTTTTCTATAAAGGACGTCATGACCTTTGCCACCATTTAAGCGTCCGGTAAAAAGTGGTTCACTGAATCCACTCGTATATCGTACAATATCTTTACAAAAGAAGGCACCTCTTTCCTGGGGTCATCAAAGTACCAATCAACAGGGAGTGACATCCGGAGAAAAAAGCGGGTATTGTCACTGCCAATCAGTTTGCCTGATCATCCAAATCTCGCTTGATTCGGTGGGTCCGGATAGTGCGCCACGCTGGGGGCTGCAAGTCAAGGGGATTATATCCATGTTAGGGAAGAGGTGTTCATTGCCGAGTCTCAAAAAAAATAAAAAAAATGAAACTTCTCAACTCTTGCCAAAGTTCAGATTTTTCTTATATACATGTATGTAGATGTGGATGCCGGGAGATTGTCAAACCTGAAACCGTACTTTGCACTCTCCATTGCTTGTCTTGGCTGCGGAGTCGGATCGGATATAAATAGTGGCGCGAGACATAGCGCCATTTGGCAGGGGATGAAAGTTGAAAAGACAAACGAACTTTTTCCCTGTGAAACATTATTTTCCCCCTAGCGTTCGGTGGATCGGTTTCTTTGTTTAAACCAATAACAATGAGGTCTTTGACGGAGTTCGGGGGGCAATTGCGTGGGGCCGATCAAATCCTTTGAATTTGGAAATGGTCTGCATATGCATCTGTACCACGTCTTTAAAAGTTGACTTAGTTCTCACCGTTCTCTATACTTTATAATTTACATGCTAAACTCCATAGTAGTTTGATTTATGAGGTACATAGTAGGTAGTAAATAATTATTAATGTGTACTTCGTAGTATAGTGGATCTGATTTGCGAACCATGCCAAGGCAAAAGGAAATTAACGTACAAATATTGGATGTATAGAGATAACACACGTATTAATCCACTATGCGGGATGCCGACGGTAAAAAAAAAATATCTGCCTAAAAGATCGGATATGCCCGTTGATGATATCATACAATCTTGTATAATAACCGAAAGAACCATGGACATAATTAGGGTCAACCTTGGATTTGGAGCCGGGGATTCCCCGAAATGAAATTTATACCTCAGAAACGCTGGACAATAATTCAAATGCTGTATGTGAAATCATCACCCGAAAAACAAAAAAAAAAAAAACATCCATCTATACATCACTGTCAGACTCGAGTTCATCATGTTCCAGATGCTTCTTCTGCTCCTCATTCATCTCTCTATATGTGCTGAAGCTCAGCATGAAAAAGGCCAGCATAATTAAAACACCTCCAATAATAGAGGACATGGAAAGCGAATCGCCGGTTCGGAACCAGTCCACCAGAGCGACCAGGAAGATGGTAAGGAGAGCAGCCACTGATGATAGGACAGGCGACGTGAGGGAAATGAGCACAAGGAAAGACCCCGAAAATGCTATATTGATGTTAGCCTCTGTGTATGTGTTTTCAACCGCTGATCTGGTACTTACTAGCATTGGCACCGACGGAGATCATCAACATCCATGCTGCCTCACCAGTAGGCCATTCAAATGTCTCCCATCCCGTCCAGTGTAAAAATGGCAATGGGATCCATAGTACTAACAGAGTGAAAACTCCAATTAGACTGCCAAAAGTATTGGCAAAGATCGTGCCCCGGCCAGGACTGGTACCATCCGGAGGACAGGCAAAGCGTTTGTAGAGTACCTCGTAAAGCCCATAGAGGATACTCCCAATGCCGATAACGACGTTTCCGAGGAACCTGTTCTGCGCCACATGGTCATCCGAGGCCTCGCCTCCTTTCGAGGGCTTCTTATCCGGCCGGTCCCCATAGGCAACGACCATAACACCGATGGTAGCCACAGCCACGGAAAACACCTTGTCGAACCGCAGCTTCTCGTTCAGAAGCGGAATGGAAAAAGCATACGCGAAGAAGGCCGAGCAGTTGTAGATTGCCGTGAGGTCGCTGGCAGTGGTCATGTTGACTGCCACGTACCATGATCCTCCCGCGACTGTGAGAGCAGTAGTCACAAAGGCGGTGGTCTTCAGCATATAGGGGACAGGGGATCGATTGGAGGCGCGAGCGCTCAGATGTACTTCCCGGGATTCTACCATCTGTGCAGTGCTGCGAATGAGAGAGACGTGGCGCCGCCAGAAAGCATCCCATGAGAGTTTCCGTTTCTGTAACCGAAGGATACCTAGCTGGACCAGCCAGAGCAAGGACCATGACCCATGGGTCATATAACTGCATAGGGAAAGAATAAATAGTCAGCGTTTACATTCCGGAAAATGGGATTCGCATGGGCTTGTCGCTGGCATCTTTGGGTCCGGACTTACAGCATGCAATACGGCTTCTTCCAGTGAAGCTCATTTTGAATGTATGAAGCGGTCTCCGTTTGGACCACGAAGCTAATCAAACTGAGCAGGAGAAATCCAGATGCAACCATGTACTTCTTGCGGGTTGCTTGGGCAGCGTCGTGTTCCGGACTTTTACTCCGGATTGTCGGCCGTCTGGTTTCATGCAGCATGGGCCGGCCTTCTGCATCGCGGTTACCGAGGCTGGAGCGTGACCGGCGATGGTGTTCATCTAGAAGGGGTTGTTGCGAGCGGCCGTCTGTTGGTCGGTGTAATGGGGGGCGATTGACAACCATCTCTTCGTCAGAGTCGAAGTCGTAGACTGCGTCCGGGGTAGAGGTCACCCGCGGCTCTGAAAGCTCAAAGCTATCGGAAGCCACAACGTCGATTGCGAGGGAAGGTGCTAGTCGGCTTAACTACCTCGACATGAATACCGCCGTCAGGGGTGTTCTTGTCCGATTTACTGCGCTTGCGGCGAACGATAAGGGATAATGAACCGATACGTCCACGGGCGAATTGTTCAAAGGCCTCTTATCCAGGTGATGCATAAAACGTGGCTATAGTTTATCCCCCCAAAAGGTTACCCATGAAGCCTATTTCCACGTGTTCAATATTTCGTACACTGTGTTCACAGGATACATGCACGGGAATAGTTGTAGCTCGAATGGTAGGTTCAGCACACTGAGTACCAATTATTTCGGAAGGGAATTAAAGCAAAGGATTTATCAAATAGAAACCCCCGTGTTGAAAATGATCAGAAAATCAAATGAGGCGTAGTAAAATGACCGCCTTCAGGTGTGTCGTCACATCCACTTCAAGTTGTTACCTAAAAGCGGGACCCCTGTGATTATAACACGTGACCTCATCTGGTGCTATTCCATATTTAGTTTAGCGCGGAATGTATATCGTTTGTGGTTTTCCAAGCTTGGAAGGTCCGTTCTCAAAGGATTCGGGGTCCTACCGCCCCAGCCTAGCCAGCCCTAGTTAGCCTCTGTGAAAGGCCCCTAGCATATGTTGTATGTTGTAGTGGAAAAGGCTAGTAAAAGGTCAAGATGGATATGTTATAATTCCTGTGTCCATAATATCGATATCTATTGCCCTAGTACGATCTGGTCTTGCTCTAATTGCTCTCTTCAAACAACTATAGAAATTATGGCCGTGGTGCATGGCCTTAAAATTCCTCGAATTGTCATGGGGCTGACTATCAAACATTCGTGTGCGATGGATGATCAATCATATGGACACATGCATTACCTTACTCCTTAGGCCCGAACACCGCCTTCTGAGTATCATAAGTATATTCCAGATCCAAATGCCAGTAATTAGGAGAGTTGGATTTGGCAACCAGCCAAGCCTGGTCCAAAGCCTGCACGACCTCTTCCGGGAGCGGGCCCTTCTGGAGATCAGCAAGGTTAGTCTCAAGCTGTGCGAAGCTGCTGACTCCAACTAAGACTCCATCACGACCACCATTGTCCATTCTGAGAGCAGAGTGATGGCGGACCCAGCGCAGAGCTGTCTCCAGCATTGTGAGACCATGTTTCTCTACGACAGGTTCAATGATACTCAGAGCTTCGAAGGTAGCATCTCTGAAGTAACGCTTGCGGTAGTTGGCTCCAGTAGAGCTCGAGTCGCTGTATCTGCCTTCCGCGGGGATATCTTTCGACTTGTATTTTCCGGAGAAAAGACCACCCGCCAACGGGTTGTAGATGACGATGTCGAGACCATACCGGTGGCAGGCGGGAACGAGCTCAGTCTCAATGTTACGTGCTATTAATCGTGTTAATCGAGTTGGAAAACCTATAAAAGGAAAAAGGTATCACCTACTGATTGCGTTATACATGGCTTGGTAAATAGTGGGACGGACCCATCCCCTCTCAGCGCAAAGGACGCAGATCTCAGCCACTTCGAAGGCTGTAAAGTTGCTCAGACCGAGCTGTACAAACTTGCCCTCCTTGTGCAACTGGTTAACAGCCTCAAGAGTTTCAGCAAATGGAGTGGCGCGATCTGCTGCATGCAGGTAGAAGATATCGACTGTATCGGTCTGCAATTCCTTCAGAGAGAGCTCGAGTTTCTCACGAACGACCTCCGGCTTGTGGAAGCCGGGCTTGCTCGGGTACCATTTTGTGGCCAGAGTCAATCCACGCGACTTCCAATTCGCCTTGGCTGTGAATGCTTCCTGCTCTCCGTCAATGTAGACACGGGCGGTATCAACTTCATTGAATCCTTGCTGTTGGAAGTAGTCAAGGCATTTATTGTACTCATCCAGTGAGGTGATCCGAGCACCTTTGGCCTCATTTGGGCCAAAGGTCATCAATCCGAGAATCACTCTCGGCTGGGGGTTCTGTGCGATCAGAGGCATGATGAGAATTGAAATTTGTTCGTTTCTGAGATGTGTTGTGAGGTGAGATGGCGTGCGAGGATGGAGGGGGTGGGGTGGAGTCTCTTATACGATGTCCAGGAGTTGTCTAGGACCTCGTGTTCGGCGTGATACGATGAATTTGTAAGCCATAATCGATTCCAAGGTTGATAATCAATAAGTTCCAAGAATCTGCAATGTGATAAGTATAGATTATGATACAAAAAAACCTTACGTCACTCGGTAAGGATTATCCGAAGCCACAAAACGCAGTGCATACATGACCAGTAGACCTTTTTTAGAAGTTGTCCGCTAAGCTCCTAGGAGATGGTGGGGTTCCAAGGTTGTGGATGATCCCCGATAACGGATAACGGAGCTCATCGTAGCCTCCGCGGGCAATTCGTTTCTTCCCGACAACGAACTGTCCTTCCTGTCTATCCAATTGACCCTATTCTTCCAAAAATGAGTCTCCTCGAGCCGCGATATGACGCAAACGATATCCTCCAGCTGGATCCGAGGAAAGGCGAGCGGGATTATAGCATATTGATCATTAACCCCAACACCTCAACACATATGACTGAAGCTCTGAAGCCCATATTGGCTAGCATGAACTACGGGGACGTGCACTTCGAGTACTTCACTGCGCCTGACTCCACTGTTGAGGTCGACGGAGTCAAGGTTGAGCCAATTGCCAGCATCAACAACGCCGAAGAGTCATGCAAATCGGCGTTGAATTGCTGGCCTGTACGGGAGTTTGTCGGCCATTATGACGCCTTTCTTGTAGCGTGCTACTCCGCGCATCCATTCGTCGGCAAGCTCAGAGAGGATATCACGTCTAGCGAAGAAGCGAGCTCAACGAGAAACAAATATGTCACTGGGATCTTTGAAGCATCCATCACCGCTGCACTCTCATTGGTTAGCGGTTTCGCATTGAAAGGTCCAATCAATCTAGCAGAGGGGCTACAAAAGTACCAAGAGAAAGGAAGTTTTGGAATTGTGACCACTGGCTCAGCGTGGAAGGAGGAGCTCACAAATGCGGTTCAAGGAGCGCTGGGTTATGATCATGAGGATGGGACCTCTATGCACTTTGCGGGCGTCGAGACCACTGGCCTAACGGCAGTTGAACTGCACACCACGGAACCAGAGGAAGTGCGACGGAGGATCATCGATGCTACCCGCAACTTGCTTCGGAACTCGGCATCTCGTGTTAAGGTTGTTTGTCTGGGCTGTGCAGGTATGGCCGGCATGGAGGAGGCGGTACGAGAGGGCTGCATTCAGGAATATGGAACAGAAGGTCAACGTGTACGAATTGTCGACGGGGTAGTTGCCGGTGCTGGGAACCTCATCACAGCCTTGAAGGCGGGATTCTAAGTGATAGTGGTCCAAGGCGACCGTTGGCCAACTAGATCACCGCAGGAAGACGATATATCAAAATTTATGCATAGCTGGGCGGATTAAAAAGCACTTGCACCTCATATTAATTATATTGATCCACAAATATTTTTCACATGTCATTCAGACGTTGTTGATGTGCAACGCATAAGGTAGCAAGAGCTTCTGCCTGAGGCAAAACAACCGGCCAAAAAGTTCCCCGCGTGAACGCGATACGCGTTAACGAGCAGCAACACTCGACGGCCTCCACGGAAGAAATATGCCAAGGTTCGTTCATTCTTTTGATTCAATTATAATAGAGGAATCCCTTTCCAGCTCTAAGACCGATGCTAATATCGGTGGCAATTGCAGAGAAATCATCACGATCCAAGCCGGCCAGTGCGGCAACAACGGTATGTGGCTCACCTCCGCGGTCCATTCCACGAAACCCTTGATCCTATACTTTTGAACAGAGTGCGAGGAAATATAGTTTATGCCGCTAATATCCGATCTATCTAGTGGGCAGCCAGTTTTGGCAGCAACTGTGCCAGGAACACGGAATCAGCGCAGATGGAAACCTTGAGGAGCATGCGACTGATGGGGCAGCTGGTGATCGCAAGGATGTCTTCTTCTATCAGGTGTGTATAGCAGACTTGGGAGAGTATATTTAGCTTGACATGGCAAGAACACTAGCTAACAGACGTGGGTAGAGTGACGACACCAGGTACATCCCTCGTGCGATCCTCCTCGACTTAGAACCCAGAGTATGCTATCCTTCACTAGTATATCACATCGATACGCGATGATTAACGCAAAGCTTTTTTTCAGGTGCTCAACGCCATTCAGACTGGGCCCTACAAGAACATCTACAACCCCGAGAACTTCTTTGTCGGACAACAAGGTATCGGAGCTGGAAACAATTGGGGCACCGGATATGCTGCCGGAGAGGGCGTGCAAGAGGAGATTTTCGATATGATCGACCGCGAAGCAGATGGAAGTGACTCACTAGAGGGATTTATGCTTCTACATTCGATCGCAGGAGGAACAGGCTCTGGACTGGGAAGTTTCATCCTAGAGCGCATGAACGATCGCTTCCCGAAGAAACTCATCCAAACCTACTCCGTCTTCCCAGACACGCAGTCCGATGTCGTCGTCAACCCCTACAACAGCTTGCTTGCCATGCGACGATTGACCCAAGATGCCGACTCCGTGGTCGTCCTGGACAATGGCGCTCTATCACGAATTGTTGCTGATCGTCTCCACGTTCAAGAGCCTTCATTCCACCAAACCAACCAGCTCGTGTCAACGGTGATGTCTGCATCCACAACCACGCTACGATACCCTGGATACATGCACAACGATCTTGCCGGAATCATCGCCTCGCTCATCCCTACGCCACGCAGCCATTTCCTTCTCACATCATACACACCATTCACAGGCGCCAACATTGAGCAAGCCAGGACAGTGCGAAAGACAACCGTGCTAGATGTTATGCGTCGGCTTCTACAACCCAAGAACCGCATGGTCTCCGTCAACCCCAGCAAGTCCAGCTGCTACATCAGCATTCTCAACATTATCCAGGGTGAAGCCGACCCGACCGACGTGCACAAGTCTCTGCTACGAATTCGTGAGCGCCGCCTTGCTTCTTTCATTCCCTGGGGCCCTGCCAGCATTCAGGTGGCTCTGACGAAGAAATCCCCGTACATTGAGGAGACCGGGCACCGTGTCAGCGGGCTGATGCTAGCCAACCACACCTCTGTCGCGACACTCTTCAAGCGTATTGTGAAGCACTACGACATGCTCCGCAAGCGCAATGCCTTCTTGGATTCATATAAGAAGGAAGCGCCATTTGCTGACGGACTTGGTGAATTTGACGAGGCACGGGCCGTTGTGATGGATCTGATCGGCGAATACGAGGCAGCCGAACGGGAGGACTACCTAGACCCAGATGCCGGCAAAGCAAATGAGCTGGGGGTATGATATGAGATTATGAGATTTCATTCCCTGTTTTTCTTTTTAAACTCTTTTTTTTTTTTTGCTATTTGGGCAGGGCAAGGGCGGTTTGGGCGCATCATCGGTGTCTGCGCCGGCGTTTTTATTCACATTTTACATTTTCCTTGCTTTTTTTTGTGTTCTCAACGCAGTGGACATATCATGAAACCAATCCACGCTAGTCGCTATTTAAAATTGACCACGTACACGTAGCCCGTATAGATGGTGTCAACGTGGTAGGATTCTGATTTGTACTGATTAGCGTGTGCAGAAGGGATCTGTGGGTAGTACTACGGAGTACATACCACCTAGATAAGGCGATGAGGTGGAGAGACGGTGAAATTGGGTAGCGGGATCGGCCCTGACTTTAGGTGATTTAGGCCTAACCCAGGAAATGTAGTATGTACGAAGGACGGAGTAGACGGAGTACAAGGCAAACCTATGTCTGCAGTCCTGCAGTCCTGCGCAGGATGCTCTTACCGATGCAATAGCTCCACGCGGATCATCCGTGCCTACGCGGACTTGGCTCGGCCGACTCGTCGATTTGTACCCCGTATCGAAGACAGTTCACAGGGGTCATAGCTCCTTTTGTCGACTTGCGATTGTGGCTTTTTTTTTATGCCAGATGCATTCGATTGAGTAGCATTGGGCATGCAGGATATAAGGCATGTTGCCTGAGTACCGTAGTATGATAAGTCCGGGTGAACACCTTGCCACCCTGGTGGCGCGGTAAAACGGAAGAACCGATATTTGGGTTTCCAACCAATTTGACTCTAGTTAGTACAATAGTAGTTCCGTACATACCATGTACATATGTAGTTAGAAGGTTGGTCCATGTTGAAAAGTACACCTGACTCCTGAATTATCACGTGAAGGCGCCCTTGAATGCACGGGCAAATTCAACATCATTGGACCCGAGACCAGGCACCTTGGTACTGAGGAATAAACCTGGAACCTTTGGTAGGTCAAGAATGGGAAGAAAGGAAAGAAGAAGAAACAAAGAGAAAAAAAAAAGAAGAAAAAAAAGAACTCTTTGAGTATATTTGTATAAAGTAAAAGGAGTCCAAAGGATACAAAGATGTATAAAAAAAAAAGAAAACCAATTTCAATAATTGTAATCCACTAAAAAAGCACTAAAATTCTCCAAAAATGCTCCAAAAATCCACTTAAAAATCCCCAAAATGCGTTTAGCTCCATAACTCTGGGAAACTCCACCCATGATTCCGTCACTGTCGCCTCACTGACTCAGCCCTTTTATCTGTTTCTTTGGCCTTCTCCCGTGTCTTCCGACCCTATATATAGTCTCTTGTTGGCCTAATTTCTTTTCACTACTTTCCTCTCTCAAGACCCCGGCGCTTATCACCTAGCGTCTCGCCTAACTCTACTATCTCCTTACTTATCTCTCTCTATATCCCTCTCCATCTATCCAAACCAAATCATCTACCAAGTCACAATGCCTCCCCGCAAGCCACGTTGCAACTTCAAGGAGTGCAAGGAAGCCGCCCAACGCATCGTTGGTGACTGCAGCTTCTGTACCGGCCACTTTTGCTCCAAGCACCGCATGCTGGAAGCCCACTCTTGCACTGGACTGGAAGACTGCAAGAAAGAGTCACACGCCCGAAATGCCGATAAGTTGAACAGCGAACGTACCGTCGTCGTCAAGGGCGTATGAGAAAGGGAGGGACTACAATCAGAAATGGGAAATAGCCGCTTCGCTTTTCTCTCCGAACAAAGGGGGCGGCCAAGGACATGACCAGCCTAGTCGATGTAGGCCCGGGCCATCTCGCCTCCTCCCCCTATCTTATCTGCCGCGGCCGATCAGGTGCCATCCCTATTTGACTTGGCTTCGACCCGGTTCGATTCGATCCGGTTCTTCCCTTTCTTGCGTGCCTCTGCGGTGATCTTGGATTTAGCGCGGTGTTTCATTTTTAATTATTTCTCCTTCTCCTGGGATGGGGGCTTCTTTCTTTTGTCTCGTTTATGATCTATATTCAGATCGGATTCGGTTTTTGGCTACGGCTTGTTTGGGTTGAGGCTTTAAGGTCTTCATTTGCATGGCGTTTGTGCTTGGTGTTGACATCTTTTTGACATCTGATCTTTCGATATTTCGACATATTTACTGCTCCCATTGTCATCGCATTTTGGGCATGCCTATTCTTTTTTTCCGGGAATGCTAAATATCTCTTCTTGAGTCATTTTAGCCATATACTATACATATCTGAAATATCGAGCCACTTTCTTATCACAAGACGTTCACTTCCATTTACGGGGTATACATTTACGGGGTACCCCAGGTACATATGTAGTTTATGGGTCATCCCTGAAACATGGTAGATTCTTGGCAAAACGTTGGAAACAAAGTATTTCGTGGATTTCGTACAAGTACAGATATGCTTGACTAAAATTGTATGATTGAATTGAACCTCATTTGAAACACCGCAGCCATTTAGCCCGGTCCAATCTTCGGCCTATATAACAAGTTAGCTTATAATTCAATGCCCAAGAACAGACCCATAAAGCGACTAAGACATACATATCATGATGTTCACTCAGCCGACTGAGATACTTATTCAGTTCCTCCACACGCTCCTTATGAGTTTTGACACCTTCGCGCTGGAGCCGCTCATGCAACTGTCCCAAAAAGTCAGTTATAGTCTGTACAACAAAGCCGAAGTAGAAAAAGCTCGAGCCTGGCAAAAAAGACAACACATACCCGTTTCCGCCGAATTTCCTCAGCTCTCTTTTCGGCCTCGGTCTTCCCAGGCGCATCCCTCTCTTTTTCTCTGTCTTCCTCAGACCTCACCCCCTCATCCTTTTCATTATCTGGTCGCTCCGTGTCTGGTGTTGACTCCGACTTTGACTGTGCCACTTCGCCCTCCTTTTTCTTCGTGCTCTTCTTCTTTTTCTTCTCTACCCGTCCTCCGCTGACTTTGCTTCCCTTCAGCTTGAGCTTGCCGCCACCGATGGAGTACTCGTCACCCGCCATGCTTGCGGCGCTTGTTTGGGGG